TGCCTGTAACTCGCGAAATTTAATCATTGAAATTGGCGTGGTTGAGCCACGCAGCAGAGCTTATCATTAATAACTTGAGACTGAATTGTTGGGGAACATAAGTTGATTAACAGGATTAGCAAAAAACTTGCAAATAAAATATCCTAAGACATGCGCAAGTATGTAAGAGAAATTATCTAACAAAGGGAAGAGTAGATGAGAATTAACAAAGTAAGTCGGAGTATGTTCCTTATCTGCATCGTCAGAAAGATGTTTAAGCGATATTCAATTATAAAACGTATTGGTTACTCTTCTTTGCTTAGCAAAAATTGACCACAGTAGATGCTCCAAGCGTTTATATAGCGCCAGGAAAATAATTTGCTGATAAATTGACGTTATAAGCAACTAAAATATGTCACATTTTTATTTTTCCAAGAAATAAGCCAGCAGCTCGTATGAGCACGTACTTTTCCAACAACTTGTGTCCCCGTGACTACGTGCTCGCTTAAACTGTTTGAGAATTATAAGCTTTTCACCTTTCAACACAGTTTCCAAGAATTGAAATGTGTGTGTGCTAATAGTTAATCGTTGCCTGTGATATTTTTTAAATACGAATCATATTTGAAACCGCATTCCTGGCAAATTCATTTAATTTTGTGCTTAGTTTCTGCAAAAGCATATCAATTTGTTTCAAATGTCACGTAAATTAAATGACATTCAAAAATGTAATCACTTTCCAACACTGGCACAATTATGACTGGATTAATGTCCAACCAATTAGCGGTTTTATGTTTTTTTAAAACCGCAAAAATTTTAAATACACAAACAACGATTTAACAGTTTTTTTTGTTGCAATAAGGCTAATTGCAAATTAGTAAAAGAATAAATTAATTAAATTGCGGAATGCTAAATGAGGACATTGCGACATCACATATAATCACATTTTGACTGTGTGTGCGTAAATAAACGATGTGTCAACGGCAGAGCTCACAATGTGTGTGTGTGTGCAGAGACAAAAAGGATACAAGGACACGTGCCAAAGTGGCCATAATTTACGGCATAAGCACAGTAAATGGGCACAAGTTCATAAATTATCGTCCTCGCAGGACGAGCGAACTTGTCCGTCTGAGTTCGTCGAGAATTTATGTAGTTGTTTGTGTTGTGAATTCGAGTTTGGGTTTTTGTCATCTGATATGCAATTAAAAAACAATGCAAGTCCTTGAGCGCGAGCCGGAAAGTATGCTACAATTATGTGTTTGCTTTATTTGCACTCGTGCTATAGCTGTCACAGCTAACGTGAATGGACACCCCAACACGGCACACGACAACAATATTGTTGTGTATTATTTCAAAAATGTCAACTTGTTCGAACTTTTCGTCCATCAAAACCCACGCTCCCCCTCCAGTCTCTACCTCCCTGTTGTGCTCGATTATTTCCGCTGACTGCGCACGGTCACATTTTGCCAGTGGCAGCAACATTCTCTGGCTAAGGACCTGCGGTCTTAATGAAATGCTGGCTGGCTGGCACATAAAACAGCGTCAGCCAACTGTAAATAACAGTCAGCAGCTCAGGCTATGGGCGCGGTCAACAAAAGGCACTGCACACAATTTGAGCCGGTTGGGTTATGGGCAACGTATCCGAGCCACATAAATAGATTCAAGTGACTCAAAGGACTCAATTGCAATTCAATGTCAAACGCCTCTTAAAAATTTCACCGAAATTCGTGTTGCAATAAATGTATAAAAAATTCATGACAAAAAATTGTCACAAACGGATACACACACCCACGGAAGAAACTCGTCGTGCAATTGGCATCAGTCCAACTGCAAAAATGGCAAATGACAACTGACACGGCTGTCAGGATCTTTACAATTTTGTAGCTGCTTTTGTGGCTGTTGTTGTTGCTGTCACATTGGTGACCGTAGTCAAGAGCAGCGAAAGAAATATAAGAAAATAGGTGACTGTTCAGGCATTCGTCTATTCAAACACAGGGTGGTTCATTTTGAAGTATGAGTAGCAAAGTCTGTCTTAAAAGTCTTAAGACTAAACTTTACCGATTTTCAAAGGTTGGCTTAAAATTCCATTCTCTGAGCTGTAACTTATTTATATAAGTTTTATAATATACAATTTCTTATTTGGTTAATTTGAAATTTGATTGTTAAACATCTCTGGTTCTCGTTAAAGAGTTTCCGAAGAAGGAACACCCTCTGCTCTGCCGGACTTTAAGTCCTGTTTGCTGTTTTCAATTTTATTGCTGTTTCATTTTCTTTATTATCAATTCGATTTTTCTTTTAAGCGTGGTTGAAAAAAAACAAACGCAAGTTGTTGTTGCTGCAAAATAATGCCGTGGATTGCCCCAGGGGAAGCGAATAACTTAAAAACAAAAAAAAAAAAAGGAAGCTGGCAAAAGTTTGCAATTGCTAAAACTTTATGAAATGCCTCGAGGCGTTCCATTCCATCGCTTTTCCCTATTCTGCGCTGTCAATTTTTTCACACGAGTAGTTGAGCCTTTTTATTTGGTTGGCTGCTACTAATTAGGAATTCAGTTAACTTCGCGGTTAGTTATTGAAGTGTAATCAGCATCAAAGGATGTCAGTTACACGCGACGCGCCGCGTCGCTAAGTGCGGTTCACTTATGTCTGGCAGTCTTATCACTTGTGGCCTGCCACGCGGCTCGTAAATTCCACGCAAATGAAATGCACACGGGCCAAATCTATGGGCGAACAAGAGCTCAAGCGCGAAGCGCTTGCCTTCGTGACACGGCCCCCAAAAAGGTTTCAGGACATGTCAGGCCGACACACAGTCACAAACCATAACAAATACTTGGGCAACTTTGCGGTAGTTGCGTGTTTGCCATCTGCCGCAAATTATGCTCATTATCATGTAGAGCGGGTCGCGCGCTCGGGCTGCCCTGAAAAGTATGCTATGCGAAATAAAAATGCCAGCTCGTAATTAAGCCTACCTCAGTACAAGAAAGCGCATGCCAAAAACAATATGTGAGTGCCGAATATTTAATATGCTTGCACGTATTTCAATCGTTTCTTGGAAGCTATACAAAAAATTTCAAATAACGTATTTGAGTATTTTGTGTATAAGAATGTAGTTTTTATATGGATTATTCTGTTACTTTCTTTGGCAGTCTGTCAAGTTGAACGTCAAGATATCATATAAACGATTTTTTTTAACAAAAATAAAAAAAACATAAAAATAAACCCTTTTTTTGCATTATAAACACAGCTGCTAATACTGCTTCAGAGTAAAACACACATAATATAGACATCTGCATGCACGCTTTACTTTTTTTTGCAACCCGACGCTTGCAATTCTCAACAAGTAAAAGCTTCAGAAGGGAAACAAGGCGCTTCCGACTGTAGAGTTGATAGCAAAGTGTGCTGAATATAGAATCGAGTGGATCTTAAAGTAGCTTAATAGACAACCTGCTCATTTTTATGTGTTTATGCCTAGCTTGTTGGTAAATATATCTACTAGACCAGAACTTCTCAACATAATATTATTCAATATTCCCTATTTTATGACAAATTCAAACTACCCTCTGGTATACCCTAACTCATGCCACAGACAAGTTGTGCCCGCTCAGCCAACTGCACTAAAAAGTGTCCTTCGTGTTGTGATCCTTGTGCAGATGTTCTTGTTTTTGCTGTTGTTGTGGTGCTTTTAAAAGTAAAACGCTGTTGAGTTCATTAAAAATTTGACTAAGTGCGTTGTCATCATAATTATCATCATCATCATCATTATCATTATCATGAACCGTGTCGCTACCCCACAGCCAACAGGCCATGGAGGGCTCAGGCATTTGCTATCCTACATGTCCTTACAGCTGTTATGACAATGTGAGTCGTGACTACGGCAGGCACATACTTGAACTGTATATGGATGTATAAGTCCATGTGTGTGTGTGTGTGTGTGAACGTGTGCGTGTGCGAATGTGTGTGTTTGTGTAAATTGCTTTGCCCGCAAAATTTGTTATTCGTGCTGAGTTCAGCCAAAAAAAATAATTTGCCGCGAATTTGCGCCGAAAATTGCCCGCAGCCTAATTTGGATTTATAAAGCATTAACATCAGGAAACGGCAGAAAATGAATTATTCATCAAATTAAAAGAGCTTAGGGATAATTTACATCAATCAACGATGAATTTTTGATTAAAAATTGCTATTTTATTGCGGCTTAGGCATTTCAAATAATGCAATATTGTAATTGAAAATGTGTTATGCCCACACTTTCAGGCCAATAAATGGCTATAAATAATTTATTATGACTGGCATTGTGTGAGCCACGGTAATGAAATCGCTTCTAAATGGTTTCGAACATGCATATGCAGCTCATCAAACATTTATAAGAACATAAATAAATATTCAGGTTTATTATTCTATTCAATAGTTCGTATATACAAAAAAATAATTAGTTTGCGATTTACCCCAAATGTAGAACTAAAACAATCAACTGAAGCGAATTAAAACTGATTCCAATTTGCAATTAGTTTTAATCGTATTCTTTGATTTTTCCATTTTTTCCTATAATAAACTATATATTATAAATATTATTTATATAATTTGGTCAATGTTTGGAGGTTTCCCGATTTCTATTCAATAATAAGAAACATAATTCTCTACAGTTTCTAAGGCATTCCAAAATATGATTTCAAATTCTAGGTTCTATATTTAAAATCATTTAAATCCCATAAAAGTTGACAATCGCATTATTACCAAAATCCAAAAAAATATTTTTACCCCACGAAAATGGGCCAAATGGAATCATAAGCAAAAATTATGCAAATAATAATAAAAAAGACGCATAAAAAATTGTGAAAATAATGTTATAGCCAAGAAAAATATACTTAAGAACCACACACACACACACACACACACACGCGCTCTCTCTCTCTCTCTCGCTCGCTCTCTTTCTCTGTAAAGCGGCGCTCCCAAAATTTGTTCTCTGTTATGAATATGCGGCGTAAAGCGTAGCAGGCAACAAGAAGAAGAAAAGCAAATGGAATGCCATTGTATGAGGCGCTACGAACGGAATCCCTCATGACAAAATCAATAGGATACCAAACAGCTGTGCTGCCGCCTGGTAAATGTAAACGTAAACAAGCAAGCAGAGAAAAACTGAGAGGCAGGCAGAGAAAAAGAGAGAGAGTGTGTGTGTGTGTGTGGGAGAGCGCAACTATAAATAGGGCAACGTCAGAGAAAGAGACGCGCGCTCTCTCTGTCTGTGGCCGAGGCAGCATTCAGAAAATTTTCAGTTTTTCCAATTTAGTCAAACGCAGCTCTTCAACGTTGGCGGTAGCCGAAAATCAAGCGGAAAACCAAACAGCGCGCGCACACACACCAACACAACAACACTCACTCAGGCAAATATACAACACACATACACACACACACACAAATACGCGCGTGTACAGCGACAGTGTGCCATATGTGTAATCAAAACGGGCCGCGCTAAGAGCAAAAGTTTATATATAGAAAATTGTACGCACAGCTGAGGGAAAAATATAAATTCGTTGTGTAGCTGAAAATAAATTTAACGAAAACTACGAACAACAATTTATACAAATTCTAACTTGATTTTGCATTTCAATCATTTTTATTTTCGTTCTCTTGTTACTTCTATGCAATAACTCAAATATTACGCATACGCCGCGTGTGGTGAAATATAACTGGCGTGAAAAAACTGTGCGCCTGGCGCCAGCGTCAGCGTCAGCGCCGCTGCTAACGTCGCGACTCCACCCAAAATTGTATACCAAATTTTGGGAGCAAACATAATTTTGGTCAAATGCATTGTGCACTGGTCAAATAAAATATAAGTGCGTGTGTCTAGGTTAACAACAAAAAAAAAAGAACAAAAACAGATTGAAAAATGCTAGCAAAATGTTTGGTACATGCGAAAAGTTGATGACACATTTTGCTGTCATTTTGACCGCATTTCTTGCCGCCCAGCCGCTGTTGTTGTTGCTGATCTGCGGTCCGCCAGCGACGCCGCATGGCGGCCCCGCCTCCACCACATTTCTGGTGCATGCTTCCGCCGCGGACGAAGCGTAAGTTTTCAAAAATAATAAAATTACCAAAACCCAACAAAAAAACATAATATTTATGGAAACTTGAGTTTGTTTTTCGGCTTCCATGAAAATGTTTTTTGGCGCGTTAAGAACAAGCCCATTAAAGGGCGTGTGCTCATCATCATCATCATCATCCACGAGAATGTCTTCCCCCCTCTCTTCCACAACGCGTTGTCGACGTTTCTCATTAATTTTTCGTGCATTTTATGCTAATTTTTTTTTGGCAACTGCCATCGTCCCTCACTTTTCTTATCGAATGCCCTGCGAATCAAGCGTTCGGCATGTGGACTATAATTATGTGTAGGGTATGCGAAGCAAATCATTTGCAACTTTGCTCTTCGAAATGTTCGTATCTCAGACTTAACGCATGCAATTTCCTGCTAATTGACAGCTAAAATATGCAATTTAGCTGGTGATCTAAACTTTAATTGCTTTAATTGCGAAATTTAACTCTGTTAGTCTAGTTTGTCAGTTGATTTGAATGCATACAGCAATTGCAACAGCAAGAGGATTTTTTTTTAAGGATTTGTACCTAGGATAACACTTATTAATCGCAGCAAAAAACAGCGAATTAAATGGGCAGCTCAAATAGCTCACATTTTTTTGAGGGGATTTTGTAGAAAAAAAATATATTCAGCATAAATGAATCGATTACATCTAAGGATAAGCTATATAACTTTTTAAACCACATACGTAAACATTAAGACATTCAATTGCTCCATAACTTTGCCAATTTATCTATACATCATTTTTACATCTTCGTTATTTATTAAATTTGTGCTTTCTTTACTTTAGCTAGCAAGCATTTTGGGTGTAATAAAGTTGTATTATTTTTGGTCAGCTTTTAGATTATATATTTATTTCTAGCGATAGCACAATATTTAGTTAAAAGCATATTACATGGATTTAGTTATCTTTAGAAATATAAGCCATAAGACAATTGGTTGGTATTTGTTGCCTAGCAGAAGCAGCTTTTGCAAGTAAAAACAAGAAAAAGGCTATCTTCGACACGCAGAATATTAAATACCCTTGTATGGGCTTGGTTTTATAGTTATAGTTTTGCGAACATACCAGGAGAATTGCTTAGCTCTTGTTGTTGATCGCGTTTTCTATAAATCATTTTAATATTGTAGTCCGATATTCGGAGGATTATGCCTATGTTCCTTGAAACATGTTCAAACACGTATATGCCAAGTTTGATTGGCATTTAATAAACAACAAAAACGTATTCGTATAAGAACCTCATTTTCGGCCAATCGCTTATATGGTAGCTATATGTAATAATGATCCCAACCGGACATATAAACTAGAACTGAAGATACGAGCAGAATGTCGGGCAGGGTCATATAGACTCCGCTGTTGATACCGAATAAGAATTAATATATTCTTCAAGGGTATCTTATATGTGTTACTCATTTCGTGCCAAATTCGTAATATATGCCAAGGACATAAAAACGCAACGCTATTTTGCTGACTAAAAACCTCAAAATCAATAAGATTGTAAGACAAATTTGAACCCTAACCTTTTTGGCTTAAGCTTAATCTTGCATTCGTACTTGTAAATCAAAGCTTAAACTAAATATTTAATGACTACAATTCAACTTAGTTTAGTTTAGGCAACTGAACAACGTTGCATCTGTTTCAAATCTCACGGTGTATTCATCTATTATTGTTTTAGTCTTGGTACATAGAAGCTAATAAGATTTGAAAGATAGTTTAATAGTTAATAACTATCTATAATAAATATAATTACTTATAGCCATTAGATCCTGTTGGTAGCTTAAACGCGATTTATAGCAATGAGCTTTTAACTAGCTTAACTTAAACATTGGCCGTAGCGTATTAGATGGTCGTCTAGGCTTAATTGTAATATTCTCAGTGTTGTTTTTTCCTGCCTTTTGCCCGTTGCGTGTTTACGCGTTTTGTCTTTTGTTTCGAATTTTCATTTTAGCGCTCGCGTGTGTATATATATATGTGTGTGCGTGTGTGTGTGTGTGTGTGTGTACGTGTGTGTCTGTAATTGTGCGTCAGCGTATTTGCTCACAAATTCAGCTGCGGCTGCTGCCGACAACGGCGACGACCTTTTTGCTACTTATTTCTCGTGTTTTTTTTCAGGGCGCACTTTTCATAAGTCACATAAAAGAATTATATGTCTGACATGTTGACTTGGGGGCAGAGCAGGTACTACAGACGTCTATTTACGCGTAATGCATATTTTACTGGGCATTTTGTGGGGCTGCTGAAAGTCGAGGTTCTATTCATTTAACGCCACGAAATGTTTACCTGTGACTGGGTAAACGGCCAAGTAAATACAATTAGCAAATGTAATTAAATCAAATGGCAAATGGAATATCTAATTAACAGTCTTCAAATATTACACTTTGACATGCACTGACCACAAATTCCATACAGAAAAAAGCCCCAGCTGGACAATCCTTCGTTTTTTTGGTAATGATTTTCAAAGCAACGCCCCGAAAACTAATAAAAATGTACTTATTATTTGGCAATTTATACATTTTGCCAGATTAATAATACAAATTTGTGGGGCGCGCTACGGAGCTGTCGAATTCTCTATGATATCATCATTTTTAATACTAGACATATTCAGAAAGGTATATATATTGTATTTGTATATAACAATGCGCTTGTGTTTTTGTTAATATTTCGAAGCGTTCAAAGTTAATTTTATAAAATAGAATGGAATACTTTATTTAATCAGCTCAAGCCATGCGCAAGAATTTAAAGCGTGACAGCTTTTTTAATATTCAAAAATATTATTTAGATTTGCGCAAATAAATATATATCAACAAAGATATGCGCACTTGATAGTCGGAAAGCTAAATATTGCAATATTGCTATTTACCAAGGCTTGATTTTCGGGATGAACATAAGTAGCCCCATTTATTTTACAAGATGGTAAAAGGTGTAAAAGCTAACAAAATTTGGCTCCTATATTTTCATTTCAGAGTTTATCAGTGTTGTATCCCACGTTTAAACATATTGAGAATTATATCATTCCGTTAAGTCACACAATTTAAGTTTTCTATAGAATGTCATGCAGAAAAACACTTTAAAGACAACAAAATAAGAACAAACTGGCCAAATACTTTATAATTTATGATCTTGGCATATCTAATGCAACATTTTATGCGATTTTTTCGCTCTGGCGCACTGCGCACAATGGCCATAAGGCAAGCGCACATAAAAAATCAATGTAAATTGTAAGAAAAACCAAAAATAATCATTAAAAAGAGAAAAAAAGAAAATAAATAACACAATGTACAAAGGCAAAAACTTGGCAACTCACAAGCACCTACATACGTCCACACCCACGACCCAGACAGTCCGATATTTAGTGCAGATAACAACAAAACCCATTCAAAAACAATGTGAGAGAAGCAGACGTTGTGGGGGTGCCCCATGGACTGCTGCCACAAAGAAATGATGCAAATTTAATTGAACAGCTCCAAAATGAAATAAAAAGCTTGTTACTACAACGACAACAATTACACTTAAGCAGACGCGGCACTTCAGCACAGGCAAATAATTGTGTCAAAGGCAAAGCGGCAACTACAAGAGCATGAGAGCAAACCGATAGAGAAAGAGAACGAAGAGAGCGCTACAACTGTCAAATTTCATGATAGATATAGGGAGAGAACAGACACTATGCACAGGTGTGTCAGAAAGCGGACACTACGACTTTGTAATGATCTAAAGTAATTTTCCTTAAAATGTATCCAAAAAAGTATTGCAGAACGCCTCTATGCGATTTTCATAAATGTTATTTAGTACCATCAAGGGTTAGCAGTAGTAAATTTGTAATTGAAATTAATTATAATAAAGTTGCTAATTTTTTTTGCTCTTTGCCTCTATCGGTTGCTCTATTTAAATTTTTCAATTCACGCTCGCACATTTTTCATTATCTTTCGTTTCTCTATCTCTCTCTTACTCTTTCTGTAGCTATCTTTTTTAGCTTTCCTTGTCGCTGTTTAACAACTATCAACAATCTATATTTTCCTTTCGATCTGTTCCCTTTCTCAATTTGTACCTTACTTTCACTCTTTTTTTCGCTTCCGAACCTTTAAATATCGTCTAATAATTTATTACACTTCCTCCTTACTCCCTCTCACTGCACCTCTCCCTCTCTTTTTTTCTTTCTCTTTTCCGACTGAGAAATCTCTTTCCAAACCTCTTCCTATATATCCTTCTTACCTTTATATCCATTACTAGTCTATTATATCTATCTATTATATACACCTATTATTTCTCTCTCCCCTAAGCACACTCTCTCGCTGGCTACTCTCTTCTATTACTTTCCTTGAAATTCATTTTGTCAGTCAGTACATAATTCGGGGTCAAACTAATGGGATCACTTTATTGTTATATATGTTTCTCTTTACGTCTCTGTTCTCTTTCTTACTTCTTTCTGTCTCTGACCAGCTCTTTGTCATTTCCTTTCTCTTTCACTGACTCTCTTCTTCTTCACTCACCGACTCTCCCTCTTTCTCTCTTTCTGTCATATTTCAGCTCTTTTTTTATTATATTTTTCTTAGTTTCACTTGGTCACTCTGGTTTTTCTTGCAAACATCGCCTTTCTATGTGATTTTCATTAATTTTTTTAAGTAATTTATAAATATGGCATTGATTAATTATGAGGGGACATTTTAGATATGGCTTCTGTTTGCTTTGAAATGTTAATTTTTTAATGTTTGTCGTATGTAAATAACGACTTGTATTTAAGTTAGCCCCGTAGAGAAGGTATTTTAAGTAGCTCATCTTGTGGATCTTTAATTGTAACAAAAGTAAATATATAACAACTATGAATAAATAAATGATCAAAAGAAAGTTAAGCTTTCATTTTATAGATCTAGATAGATTTTTTACATACGTTTCATTGTAGCAGTAGTTATTGCTGGCGTTAACTAATATACATAATTGTTTTTTAGCGCACTCTTTAATTTAAGAGCATAATTTTTAAGAGTATTTTAAATCGAAGAGTTTTATGAAAAACCTGCGCGCGCATTATCTAGGCACTTGTTGATTTCTCGCACACACACATACGCAACACTCGCACACACTTAAGCTATGCCCAAGCACAGCTGATTCTGCTCGCTGCCTGCGTCGCGGCGCTGCTGCGCTGCTGCTCAGACTGCTTTTGGCTTGGCTACTTTCTTTGCCGCGCACACACACACACTCACACTCACACACACGCACACATAAACACCTTTTGGCCGTATTTACCGTTACCAACACACTCGTGTTAGACATGTGCGCTAATTTAATTAGTGGCCTTGTTTTGCTTGCAAGTCGACAGGTGGTTGACATTTCTATACGGGGCAGCTGCCATTTGGCGTTGCCAGATTGCTGACGAGTTAACAGGAAATAATAGTGCACGAAATTGGAACTTTTGAGAAATTGGAAAGATATAGAAATTAAAATTGTGAAATATGTGTGAGTTTCAGACCCGTCCGATTTGGACTCTCAGCTACCAAAGTAAGGATTCTTGAGGGAAGAAAATTTTTCTTTTTCCGTTTTTGTCACTTCAGTTTAATATACCCAGAGTCATGTCAATATCTGATAACTATATATAGTGTACCAGTAGGAATCACTGCCTGTATTTTGTTAGGTTCTCACTTCTTTTCGACTGGTTCTTGAACTTCCCATAAACATATCAGTGCACAGAGATTTTTCACTTAGTTTGCTAATGCAATCCATCTTATTTTTTGCTTTTCAGCGTTGGCAAATGGGCAAGCCAATTTGGAGACGAGCTATTTCTGCTGGCCCAGAAGATAACCAAATCGCAGCAGATCAAAGAGAAATATAAAGGGTACAATGCACGCGTGGAACTAAAAAATGGCTCCGAACTGATCAAGTCCATCACAGCGAATGTGGGCAAAATGCTGGCACGAAAAATGGACGCAGTGCGCTGCATACAGGAGAAGGCGGAGAGTGTTAACGAGAACTTTGAGTTCAATCAGACATATGCGGAGACGAACTTCACCTACTACTCCAGCAAGTACTCGGCATTCAATGGGAACAGCTCGGAGCAGTTGGAGCCCAATGAGGAAGAATATGCGTATATGTACCGCGATATGATGCTAAATCCGGACACCCATTTCTACAATATATCCGTAGATACGGAGCACAGTTCGGTGCATGTGCCCTCGAATGTGTGGGATCGTGCGCCGCATGTGCTTAAGACAATACAATGGTCGGAGCAGCTGGATGAGGTGTTCCGGCAGAACTATCAGTCCGATCCGGCATTGTCCTGGCAATACTTTGGCTCCGATACGGGCATATTGCGTCACTATCCCGCCGCACAGTGGACAGACTCGCGCGCAAATAAACTGGATGCTGATACCTATGATTGTCGCAAACGTTCCTGGTACATCGAAACGGCCACATGCTCCAAGGATATTGTCATATTGCTGGATCACTCGGGCTCGATGACCGGTCATCGACATCATGTGGCCAAGTTCACCATACGCAGCATATTGGACACGTTCTCCAACAACGATTTCTTCACAATTTTTCGGTATTCCAGCGAGGTGCAGGGCATTATACCCTGCTTCAAGGACGCACTGGTACAGGCCACACCCGAAAACATTGATGTCTTCAATTCGGCCATTGCCGAACTGGAGGATCCCGAGGGTTATGCGAATCTGACGCTGGCCTACGAGCACGCTTTTCAAATTCTACGCAATTATTATATAAATCGTCGCTGCAATGAAACCTCCACCTGCAACCAGGCTATTATGCTGGTTACCGACGGCGTTGCCGGCAATACCACCGATGTCTTTGAGAAGTACAACTGGGGTGATGGGGAGAACGGCACCTCACGCATGAACGTGCGTATCTTTACGTATCTGTTGGGCAAGGAGGTAACCAAGGTGCGCGAGATACAATGGATGGCCTGTCTGAATCGTGGCTACTATTCGCATGTCCAGACGCTCGACGAGGTCCACGAGGAGGTGCTCAAGTACGTCGATGTTATAGCCACGCCCTTGGTGCTGCAGAATGAACAGCATCCGCCTACTTGGACGCATGCTTTTACGGACAAAACGGTTGGTCTGATTCTCTCGTAGATTCCCAAAACATGTCTTACTCTTCCATTCTTGCAGTATGATCCCATGAATAGCACGGAACGGCGACCGCGTCTCATGATAGCGGTGGGCGTGCCCGCCTTTGATCGCTCCTATCTCCATGAGAACAGCACAAGGAAACGCGCCCGTCTACTGGGCGTAGCCGGAACGGATTTGCCAGTCGAGGATATCGACAAGCTAACCCTGCCCTATAAGGTAAGAGCTACTTGGGAATCCTATGAAAGTATATTTTAAGAGGTGATCAATCCTTACAGCTGGGCGTAAATGGCTACTCCTTTGTGGTTTCCAACAATGGCTACATGCTGCTTCATCCGGATCTGCGACCCATTGGCGTAAGCAAACTTCATTTGAGTAAAAAAAAATATAATTATCCATAATCCCTGCCCATCAGTCCAATGGCAAAATGAATCCCAACTATAACAGCATTGATTTCACCGAAGTGGAGCATTTGTTTGAGGATCAGAATCCACGCGAGCCTGGACAATCCATATTAAACCTGCGCAGCGCCATGGTGCATCATGAGGCCAACGAGTTTAGGGATATTCCGGTCAAGTTCCATTATGATAAAATGCGTCGCGTCTCGGAAGAGAAACAGGATTATTTCTTTGCGCCGCTGCCCAATACCCCATTTACTCTAGGTATTGTAATGCCCAGCGAGTATGGCAAGACTTGGATCAAGGTGGGCGATGAGGTGGACAAGAACAAACACATGAAGGTTAACATATCGGAGTTCTTCATTGGCGAAAACTGGAAGGTGCATCCCGATTGGTATGTGGAAGACTTATAAGTAGTAACCCTGCACAGGGTATACCCTAGTCAGGCATTTTCTGTACCTACACCAAACAAAAAAAAAAAACATTTTTCTAGGGTCTACTGCAAGTATCACTATCTTGAGGGTCACGAATTCAAGACGCCTGAAGCGGAGCTGCGCGAATTTCTGGAAAAGATGATGAAACCCGACTGGAAGTGGCCGGAACAATATGCCGAAGATGAGTCCGACTGGGATGACAAAGATGATCGTGAGTATTCCCTAGCAAGGCCGAACGACAACCAACGTTTGTTTAATGTTGTTTAATTAATGTCTTTATTAATCGCAGTAAACTGCGGTCGCAAGACGCTCGGCGATGATGCCTACTATTGCAACAAGGAGCTGGTGCACTTGCTCATCTTCGATGCCAAGGTCACAAATTTTAGCTACGGCGAATGGAAGTTCCAGAATGATCAGGAGCGACAGCTAATTGAACGCTTCGGTGCCACACTGCGTTTCGTGGCCACCATGAGTGGCCTAACACGCTGGCAGTTCATCTTTGGCGAAGTGGAAGTGGATACGGATCGGGAATTTGGCGATTATCATACAACAGCCATTGATGAGACCTGGTACAAAAGCGCCATATTGCAGCATCATCAGGAGAACACCGAGAGCTTTGTCTATTCGGTCAAACACTACAACGATCCGCTGGAGGATAGCGATCTCAAGGTAACCGCCTCGCATGCCATCTTTCCACGAGATGGCGGCAAAGAGGCGCCCGCCTGCGTCGTCGGTTTCCAGTTCTCGCATGCGCGCATGTGGGAGCGCTTCTTCAACATCACCGCCGTCGATAATGTGAGTGCAGAATGCAACGCGAACCGCAATCGGATCTTTATTCTTTATTTCACGCACAGTGCAACAATTGCCTGCCCATCTGCACAGATGATGACGTCGACTGTTCGGTTATCGATAACAATGCGTACATTGTTGTAGGTCAGAATATAAATACGACGGGCAAATTCTTTGGCGAATTCCATGGCGATGTTATGGCCGCCATGGTGCAGAAGGGCATCTTCAAAAGCATCGAGGTCTATGACTATCAGGGGCTATGCAAAGTGGAGCCAACAACGCCCAGCGATGCCCACAGTCTGTTGCATGTGAGTGAACGGCTTAAAGGCTATAAGACCACGTAGAAGAATATTTTTTATTTAAAAATTATATTTATAATTGTTAACTGACTGAATTCTGATTCAAGCTTTTTTTTAAGGGCGTAAAGCCCTGTTCCAAAATCTGTCGAGAGTCTCTTTCAAGCCTGTGTGAGACCTGTTCGAAGTCTGTTTCATACCTGCATGAAACCTTTTTGTAACCAGTATGAAACCAGAATAAAACCTTTTCAAACCTGTTCGAAACCTATTTCAAAACGGCTTGAGTCCTATTTCAAACCTGCTTTGAATGTGCTTTAACCCCTTTTTGAACCTATTTCCAACTTGTGTGAAACCAGTTTCAATCCGTCGTGACATCTTAGAGACCATTTTTAGTTAAAATATTAAAAAGTTTATAACCGATAGAAATATTTATATATTAGTTATTTAATTATATATTTCACAGCCACTACAAGTGCTCGGCCTAGCTTGGAAATGGTTAATAGCGCAGCTTTTCTGGCACTATCAAAGAGTTCAATGGTGGGCGGATGGTGCGCCCTGTAAGTAAATCGTAGCTAGCAAACCAACTTTAATTAACCAAAAAAAAACGTATAATATATTCTTATTAGTCATGGAGTATTTGGACAACATTGAGGATGAATATGTGGCTGTGGGCGACAGCAATTCCCCATCAGCTGCCAAGCCCAAGGAGGATGGCGACGATGGTGAGGCAATATTTCAAGAGCCCGAACCGGAGCCGATATACAAACCCTGCGATATGCGCTCAACGCTTTACGCGCTGCAACCCTCCGCACTGATGGGCATCAATGACTACATAGAGGTGCCATCGACGCGACCATTTCTGGTGAAAAAGATACCCAACACGAATCTGGTGCTGATGGTGGTCAATGTGCTGATGCCGTCGCGCAGCGTACGCCTAACCACCGAACCGCAGCGCATAACCGACTACGAGGAGGAGTTTCCCTGCTACAAGCTGAATATGAGTTTCTACGAGCGTCGGCGCATCGAGGAGTGCTACACGCGGCACGACGATGTGAGTTAGCCATTTCAATTTAATAATCATATTTCATTATATATATTTTATTAAATGTTCTTTAGGAGGAACTGTTCACCTATTGCGGCAACGCCTCACGGCTGGCTCTGACGCTTCAGCTGCTGCCGCTGACCACACTTTTGATGTTTTACTTGACGCGTTGCTTTATGCGCGTCTAGTTTATACAATATATGTGTATATATAAGTATATATATACTATATACCTATGTACTATTGCGATCTGTTTGTTTTTAGATTGTAAACTATTGTGTAGTACAATTCTAGTCGAATGTTTAACAACAAATAACAGAAACCAACTAAAAAAAACAAAGGCACAATCTTATAAAACAAAAAAACCTAAAGCAAATTTAGTAACAACAATTTCAACTCTTAGACTTACAAAATACGCCAAATGTTAAGAATAAAAATCGTTTTACTTTACAAATTACAAAAAAAAAAATTAAGAAATCGTTGCTAAGCAGTCGAAGAAGCAACTCCTGAAATATTTCTAAATTCTTATAATTTCAACCACTTTTTTAAGCTCTTACGGCTGTTTAACGAAAACTTCGAAAGAAATTTAAGTTTTATACTAAATGCATATAGCTGAGAGGCGCACGTTTCATTAACTTTTTTGATGGTTTAAAAATGGTAAAACCTATGCCAAATATTAACTAAAAAGTGTATGTAAACACAAATAATTCAAATAATTATTTTTGTAATTTTATAAAATTAGTTGGTGTTTTATAAACGAAGTGAAGAAATCTAAACACAGACACACACACAAAAGCACACTATAAACAGACCTACATATAAATATTTCGTCCCTTTTGCCCAACCGAAGATTATATATACTACTTATATGGAAAGTCTTGCAAAATTCTTTAGCTTTTTCGTATACAATCAGATGGATTTTTAAATGGTAAAAATCAAAGGATATGTTTAAATATAAGATATATATACTAGCATATAAAATATATTTAATGTATTCAATGTTTTTTATAGATATTTGTTAACCGCTATTCAAAGTTTATATATATGGTTTTTGTATATGTATTGTAATAATGTACGGAAAGTATTTGTAACGATTTTATTGTATTTTTTAATAATGTTAAATTTGTTTTACGCTCGAAAGCAGACGAACATATGCACTAACTTCAAGAAGTTGACTTCGGTTAGGCCGAAGCTCTAAATACCCTTGCAGATCTTAAGACCATACAACTTTAAAACGTCTAGAAGAGTCCAAAAATGGTTTCAAATCATGAATGAAATTGCAATTTCTAAAAATAAGCAGAACTTGAGTTATGTTATTTAGTCTATTATTTGAATTAAAGTTATCAAGATATTTTATGATCTGTTGTATTCAAAATTGACTTAGTTCGTCCTGGCTATAACTTTACATAAATAGTATCAAACAAGTTAAAAAGACCCACTGCAGGGGTATTCAAATAGGACCACCTGAAAAGTATGCAATACTTATTTCGAGAACCTCAATTAAGTTGCACAAAAGAAAAAAAAACTTCTTATAACTATATCGATTTTTTGGCTAAACAAAATTCAGCGCAACATTTACACGAGCAACAAGAATATGTAAAACCAAATACCCAAAAAAGAAAAAAAAAAAAACAAACAAAAAAAGTAACAAATATTGTTGAAAAAACAACCCAATTGCCTTTGTATCGTATTTCGAAACATTTTATGAATTTATGCATAGAAAAGTAAATTTGATGCAAGTACGAAGTGTGGTGAAATGTTTTTTAAATTCAGTTTCTTATCGAATTTGAAACATTATTGAAATCAAAATGAAGATGGAAATTTTAAAACCAAACAGTTAACTATTAAATGTAATTTACAAAAATACAAAAATAACATAATGAAACTAAAACTAAACTAATTAAATGTTTACGCGTACTAATACGATATTTATTTTTTGGAGTGTTTAAACGTTGTAAAATGTAAAAACTACTAAACTAAATGATGTGCATAAATATAACTGGTAATATTTCGCATGGATTCGCAATTCAAAACGAGCGACAACATCGCAATGCCATGTTTAAGCATTATTACTATATAATACCAAATGTCCACTAAACTAAACACCCACTAATAATATTTAATAATAGTAAAATTATTTTTAATTTCATTAGAAAATGCAAATGCATTAGTGCAAAATTCGTATGCAAAAATTTGATGTTTAAAACAGAAACGGTTTAAAACTGATACAATATGAATTAAAAAAAAAAAATAAGAGAAGCCAAAAACAATTTTACAGCTAATAAGAAAAAAAAGACCAATAAATGTTTAAATAATAAACGTAAGACTCTGGATGGATAGCTCTCGTATGAATACTGTTTATATTACTATAATCTCTATGCTCTTTTTATATTTTATAGAAACTTTTCACTTTAAAAGCGAAAACTTTTCTTTAAATTACAATAAGCTTCTGTGTGTTAAACCTCGCTGCCGGTTAGCACAGTCTTGAAATAATCGCTGTCCAGCTGTTTAATATCCTTGGCAAACTGTGCCACCAGCTGTGTTAGATCCTCCACATTGATATCCGTATTATTGCCAGCCGTTGACAGCTGTTCTATGGCCACTTGTATCTTATCCAGCAGCGCCTTATCCGCCTCACTCTGCTTGCCCGCATGTTCGTCCTCGAACTCATTGTACACCTCCTGCGCATTTTGTACCACATGCTCCGGAAAATTGGCCAGTCGTGCCACCTGTATGCCAAAGCTCTTCTCCATGACTCCCGGCCGCACATGATACAGCAGCGTGAAGTTATCATCATCCGCCACAGCAGCCATGTGAACGTTTTTAACTGTTGGTAAGGTTTCGGCCAGTTTGGTGATCTCGTGAAAATGTGTGGCAAAGAGCGTAAAGCATTTCGTTTGTTTTGCCAAATGCTCGGCTATCGACCAGGCAATGCCACAGCCCTCATAGGTGGATGTGCCGCGTCCCAGCTCATCAATGATGACCAGTGATTTCTCCGTTGCAGTCTGCGATTTAGAAAATTATAATAAGCTTGTTGGTGTAAAAGCTGGCTTTGCCCGTGTGTTCCTAAACTTGTTAAGCCATCAGCCGCCCGTTTAGAGTGACATTTTTGTCATCAAGCCAAGGACCGCCAATTTCCATACAAGGGTTGAATTTTTGGATGTCGAGAAAGATTAAATTCCAAAGCAGTGTATACATGAATCTTGGAGCTGAGTTTGAAAAAATACAACCATACAGGGTGTTGAATTTTTGGATGTTGGTAAAAATAAATGTCCAGTAAATGCTTGCACAGAGCTTGGAGTTGAGTTTAAAGCCAATTGATTCAAGATTTAAAAAAGTGGTTACTCCGGGTGAAATGTAATCCGGGTGAAATGTACTCCTTTTAAAAGAAATTGTTCCAACACCTCAAAACACAACACAAAAGAAAACTAACTCAAGCACATCTTCGAGTCTTTAGAAGAAACCCGAAATGCTTGCCTTATGCCCAAAAAAACAAAATACAATTAAAAAAAATAAATAAATAAAGTGAGTTTTGATGTTTTCAAAATAATTGAAAACAGGCACAAAGTCTGATAATCAAGTATATCCGCTACACAAGAGTAACGCAAAGGCAGTGTCTCTCAAACTGTGACTGAAGGTAATATGGATCGTAGCATGGGCGGGAGTGGGCATGGCGCGTGGAATTATGACTTCATCTTTGAAAGAGATCATGCGCACACACCAAATAAGATGCCTCTAAATCTCAAACTAAGGAATATTAATATATTGACGATTTAAAAGTGCGGGAGTGGGCATGAGGTTAGAGTTAGTACTCGATGTTTAAAGTTGATCATTAACAAACACCTAATTAAGTGTCTATAGATCGCAAACTAGGGCAGGCATTGATTGTGGCGCTTAAAGGGGCAGGGAGCGGGCGTGGCAGGAATATTTTTATTAAATTTAAGTCAGCCGGGCAAAGAATTCAATATTTAAATATCGTCTGACTTACCCTTATTATGCCCGAAGTTTCAATCATTTCCACCATAAAGGTGCTTAATCCCTTAATTATATTATCACTGGCGCCAACGCGGCCTAGTATGGAGTCCACCATGCTTATGGTAGCCATGCTGCAGGGCACAAACGCGCCAACATGGGCCATTAGAACAGCTGTGCCCACGGAGCGTATGTACGTGCTTTTGCCGCCCATATTTGGGCCCGTTATTATAAACATGTTGCACTTGTCTGTGAAAATACAAATAGAACATAAATGACAGTCTTAAAGTAAATCAATACACACGCACCCTTCTCAAAAGCCACGCTATTGGCTATAAAGCTCACGTGCTCCTGCAGTTCCAAGCACGGATGACGCACATCCTCAAGTAGCAGCTTTCCAGCGCCCTCGGCCAGCATTTTGGGCCGCACATAGGGCGTCGGAGCAGCACGTGCGGCTATGGCAAAGCTGACCAGACAATCCAGCTGGGCGAGCTCATTATTTAGAGAGGTTAGCGGAGCCGCATAACCAACAGCCACTTGGATAATCTCCTCGACAATGGACTGTTGTTGCTCCTCATAGCGTGTGCGGCAGCTGGCGAACTCATCTGCAATGCTCTCTAGCTTGTCGGAGGTGAAACGCACGCCGCCCTTAATTACATCCACAATGCGATAGTTTTTATTCTTGCGCAGCACAGAATCATCTTTGATTGTGGTGCGCAAATGATAGCCCAGCTTGGCCACATTCTCCAACTTGACCATCTTGCCATCCAAATCAAGCTCCTCACAGCACTTGTTCTGCAGACGCTCCATTTTGCTGTACAATTCCGTCATGGTCTGCTGCAGCTCCATGAGGCGATTGTCGAAGGTGCTCTTGACCAAATACTCGCCCTTCTCAATGGACTCAAAATCCACTACTTGCTCGACCATTTGCTTCAGACCAGTTAGATCTTCCAAAAAGCTTTTAAAGGGCGCACAAAGCACGCTCTGTACTGTGCTGTGCTCCAGACTTAATAACAGCTGTAGAATCTTTGGTGTGCGCAAAATAACCTGATAAATGCGAAATAGATCCTGCAGACTGGCCTTGCGACGCATCAGCTTTTTGGTGAGCATTAGGATATCCGGTATGCGTTTTAAATAGTCCAAACTTAGCGTATCCAATGTCTCTGGTGACTCCAACAGGCATTGCACTATGTTGTGTCGATCGTTGAGAATCTCGGAGCTGCGCAGCGGCTGCTTCACCCACTGCGCCATGAGACGATGGCCCTGTGGCGTTCGGCAATGATCCAGCACGCCCAGAATGCTCTGCCAGCGATACGAAGGCATTGTGGGATGTGTGCCGGGCTTGGGCATTATATTGAGAGCGGCCACAGCGGCCGAATCTAAGTGCACAAATCTGCAAAGCGCAAAATTGAATAAATATAAATATATAAAACGATATTCTATACATACCGCTTTAGGTCCAACTGCTTGAGCTCGTAGTGCCCCAAATTTCCGGCATCATTGATCAAATCCAAATACCTGATGGCCACACGCAGCGCTTCGGCGGCTAATTGCATTTGCAACTCCTTGCGACCATTGGCATCCTCCTGCTGTCCCTTGGCAAAGCGCAGCAGACGATTCAAGTCCTGCAGCAGATCATTGCGCTCGGCGGCGCTGCCACGCTTGGGCACCGTTATCATTACACCATTGCGTTCCAGCAGCGTTTTTACGGCTGTGTATTCGCCATCAGCTGACGGCAGCAGGCACTCTTTGGGACCCAGTAGCACCACAGTGGCCTCCAGTTCGGTAAAGAAATCATCGTCCACAAATTCAAGCAGCTGAAATGTACAATCGTTTTGCTCTACGGCAGCCACGCCCACGCGACGTTGAGTGCCGCCCTCCAGCTTAACCTGCAGCGATATGATGCTATTGCCCACCAGCACCTCCTTATTGGCAAACAAAATGTCCTCGAACTGTAACAGATTGCCCGGCGAGCCGCGGTATTCCAGCTGCCACTCGGTGCGTCTCACGTATACCTCAACTCGCAAATTGCGCACCAGTAGCAAATCGCGCACTGCCAGCTCAAAGTTGGCCTTGGACATTGCCACATACTGCAGCGTCTCCTGTTTGTCGTCCGGCAGCAGCGGGTGCACATATGCCGTGGATTTGTAGACAATTTTTGCCACCTGTTCGCAGTCATCGCTGCCGTGCACCGTATAGCAGTCGGTTTGATCGTAAAAGCGCACTGTCGACCTGGGTTTCTATGGAATATGTAATCTAATATGTAAATTAACTAAATTAAACCGCAATAAAAATCTGCAACTCACCTCCCCCAGCTTGTTGTGGAACTTGATAAAATTGCGACGTGCATTGGTATCTGTCCAGCAGAGCGATTTTAGATACTTAAACTGCAAAATGTGTGTTTCTTTGATGCTCACCTAAATGCAACACCGGCTCCTGTCTGCTTACTATAGATTTTCCTTCCATTTTATGGTTTTTATCTATATTTTTTCACTAAGTTTTAAACAATTTGCCGATTTACGCGCCACTTTGCAAGAACGACGCGACTAAACTAGTGCTGGTTAACGCCAGAGCAAAAAAACAGCTGCAAAAAATACGCAAGCAGTGGAATGACACGTGCTAACATTTCGTCGCACCATGCATCAACACTCAAATTAAACATAGAATGTCATTCCACCATTCGATTGAACGTTATTAAATACATGTTTTTATCATATATATACTTATTTAATGCTTGCTAAATTTGCAAAAACATTTTATAAGCTCGACTAAAAATTATTCAATTGTAAAATGAAAATTGAAGAAGAAATCGACGTCAATTCGCAAATCATGGCCCAAATCTTTACAAGAGTTCACAGTTATATAACTGTTTATTTAAAGTGCTGCCACCCTATTCGTATTTTCACGCTTCATAAATTCTGATTTTTTTTAATATAAATTATGAAAGCTTAATTATTATTGAATATTAATAATTAAAATTAAATTAATTACATTGCTTCCATACGTTTTGATTTAACAGATATATATATATTGAACTTATAGATATCTACATAAATATATTTGAGACATTTTAATCAAATAGTGATTTATATCGACTTTCTACAATACATTTCAATCGTACGTTAGCATATGAATCACTTTAAATACTTTTGATTTAATGGATTTGATTTTTCTTGAATATAAGCATTCACCTTTGTCATTGGTTGTTAAAAAAAAACAAACATTTGTGCAAAAATACTGACTATTCGAAACTTAATACAGCATTGAAAACAGCTTATACTTAGAGACTAACATCAGTCTAATTATTGCATGATGGACTGACCGACTGCGCCGTTCACAGCTGCTTGTCCGGCTTTGGCTGCTGCTGCTGCTCCTGCTTCATCAGCACAATGTCCCAGGCGCCGCCCACGCCGTCCGCCTTGGAGCACAGATCCAGGCTGATGCTGGCGCCCTCCTTGGCAGCATCGGCACGCAGACAGGTGCCCTTGGCCATGTTGTAGACCGGACTGTTGGCATTGCGCGTGTGTCGCCACTGCTGATCGCCCAGCATTTCGTGGCATTTGTTGATGATGACCAGCGTGTCCGCTGCCGCCTCAAGGCACAGCAGCTTGTCCAGTATGATCTCCGATTTTTCCGTCTCGTACCACATCTGGTTGGCTGCACGCGTTCGGCAGTTTTGCAGAGTCAATGAGCTGCCTTTCTTCCAGAAGCCCTTCACCTTGGGCGCCACCACAGCGGCGCACAGCTGTGTGCCGGACAGACGCAGCTGGAACGAGTCTAGGTAGTTGCGTTTGCGCGAATGCCAGGGCTGAAATACAGGCGCCACAGCTGGCTTCTTGGACTCGTCGCCGGGCACACGCAGCTCCGGATAGACATGTTTCAGATACCAGTCGAAGTCCTTGCAATGCAGACGCTCGCGCAGCTCCAGCCGCGCGCTGATGTCACCAAAGTCATAATCCTTCGGCACCTTCTCATGCTTTAAATAGTAATCCTTGTACTTGTCCATCCACACATGGGCCAAACGCAGCGAATTTTTCAACATGGTATTGGCACCATCGGGCGCCGTATAGGGACGTCGCTTCCTGAATATGTGACCAACACGTGAGCAGGGCACAATCTTAATGGAGCCTCCGCATTGCCAGACGCGAAACGAGATCTCAATGTTCTCGCCGCCCCAGATATCCATGGCCATGTCGTATTCGCCAATGTGCTGGAAATACAAGCGGTTCACTGCGAACAGTCCGCCCGCCATGGTGGGCGATCGAAAGGGACCCTTGAAATCCTCGGGCAACTTGAGCGTGCCCTCGGGCAGATTTTCCCAGCGAAAGTGCAGCCCCCAGTTAAAGCCGCCGCGAACCAGCGGACTTGGCGTGTACTCAAATGTGTCCGCATTGATGAGATCAATCACGGGCACCGCGAGCGTCGCATTCTCTGCGTGGACCAAGCGCAGAAGTGGCTCCAGCCATTGGCGATTCACCTCGATGTGCGAGTCCAGAAAAACCAAAACATCGCCGTTGGCATCGCGTGCACCAATAACGCGGGAGCGTATCAGACCCTCGCGCCGCTCGTTGCGCACATAGCGCAGATTGTCGTACTTGAGACGAGCGTGCAGATCCGCCAACAGATGAAATTCCAGCTCCGGCAAATCGCTGTTGTCATCCACCAGAATAATCTCCTTTAGCAGATGGCCCGGCGTACGCTCCAGCACGGTTTTAATGGAACGCATCAGCGTCATTTTGTGTTCGTTGTAGAAGCACATAATTACCGACGCCTGTGGCAGCTGTTCCGGCTCCAACGGCTCCTCGCGCTTGCACACCTTGTGCCGTGTATCGGGTATATCCCGGTAGAGACCAATGTTATTGGATACAAGTGCATTGAACGCATGATGCTTGTAGCCAATGTCGCGTATGTACTTGTCCTGCTTGTTGCGCACCACGCCCAGCAGCTCGAACTGATCCTGCGGCGCCGCCCCCGCCCCCGCCGACGCAGCGTGTGTGGTGTTTAGCGAGATGGGCGAACAGCCAACGGTTACCTGTGCCTGATAGCTTAACTCCGCACGGGGCGTTGCAGAGTTATTAAAGCGCCAGCCAGCCGCCGGAATGGAACTACGCAGATGGTGCATGTAGACAAACAGCGCCAGCATCCACACGCCAGCGATGAGCAGGGAGCCGAGGGTGCAGGATTTGCATAGCAGACGCTTAATTTGCATCATATGTAGATTAGCTGTTGTAGCTTAACGATTAGCGCAGATTTCATCACAGCGAGGCCAGAAAAACCGGAATTTGTGCCATGTCGTCAACACAACACTTGGATTACCAGCGCTGGCTTAATTAAATTCAATTAATTTGCATACTTGATATCGATAGTTCGGCTATCGATAATAGCGTTGCCATCCGTTCGTGCGCCAGGGCGTGAGCGCGCATTCGTTGGTTTTTGATTTGACAGCTATATCTGCTAGCATGTTACGTTATTGCTGCTAATGGCTCTATACGTTATAGGATTTAAAAATATTATGCCGTCATTATTTTGGTATATCTTGGCTTACAAACGCCATCTTAATTAGATTAATCAATTTGTAAGCCTTGGCTGCTGACAGCGTTGCCACCTGTGTGTGTGCGCACTGTAACCAGAGCCTAAGCGCGCACTCGTTAGTCTTTTGATTTGGAATGCGTATTTTTCTTGGGATTTATAAATATTTTGTCTTTATTATCTATAGCATTTTGTGTTACATACGTCTTTAATATTCATATAACATTGCTCGCCCAATTTTGCACGTTTATAATACACAACATTCAACAAACTGAGCATAAAGAAGTTACAAATTCATATTATAATATATACATATTATTTCTAACAAATTGTTGTATAAAGAACAAAGAAAATATGTAAAATATTTAATGTATAAAGTATATAGAAATAAGAGACATTCCAACATTTGCATAATTTTCTTTTCTAAATATCAAAACAGTTTCATAGCTTTTGCAACGATTAATGAGAAGTAATGCAACAGTTTAATTTCGCTATTAAATTTTCTATCAATAGCTTACTAGATATTACACAGATATCTAAATGTCGGGGACGTTTATATATTTTGGTTGTTTGTTCACACTTTTTCACGACTTAATCCAATCATTTACCTACATACAATTGTATTTTTTGTTTTCATTCTCATTGCATATTTGTTTACGTGTTGGTTTTAGATAGATAAGAAATCAATATGATTATGAGTTGCACTAAAAATTAAATTTCGATTGTTTATAACTATGTGTGTATATAAAGTTAATACATTTAACACGAGCACTGATCCTTAGCATGCGTTGCCTCGCTGCTGAGAGATGGACGTGACGGCTGCGAGGGTCGATGCTGCACACCCGACTCGGATGCATTTAAATCTAGGCGACCCTCCTGTATATTTTGATAGATCTTGCGTGCCGTTTCAAGAAATGCCTCCTCCACATTTTGACCACTAAATTAATTAGAAAAACACTTAAGGCTTACATCTTTTTCTACTATGTCTGCATATTTACGTCATGGCGCTGGCTTCCAAAAACATGAGACCATTCTCATCGGCGAATTCCTTAGCCTCTTCGTATGTTACCTCGCGTGTGCTCTCCAAATCGGATTTATTGCCAATGAGAAAGATCACAGTGCTGGGATTTGTGAGATTGCGCGTATCGGTGAGCCAGCTGCTCAAATGATTATATGTGGAGCTGCGTAAATTGTTAAGTTAATTTTATTAATATAGTTATTTTGGGATCATTTAGGTGACTTACCGCCTGGTTATGTCGTAAACCATTAAAGCACCAGCAGCACCCCGATAATACGAACGGGTCACAGCACGAAAGCGCTCCTGACCGGCCGTATCCCAAATTTGTAGTTTGATTTTCTTGTCATCAACCTCAATGATCCGTGTTCCAAACTCCACGCCAATTGTGTGCGGACAGTTGGCCATAACTGTGGATTAAAATGTGTTTAGTAGAACATTCAACAAACAGCAAGCTAGGTAACAATATATGAAAGTAGAATTTAAAATATAATATCCTGTATCGTATACTTCGCTCTCAATCAAATATTGAAATGGAATATCTATTCTAAAGCAAAATATATTCTATTCCATTTCCTTTTGAAAAGGAAGAAGAATTTACGAGTTCGAATATATATATATATATATATATATATATATATTTGGTCGGTGTAAAATCGTATATATTCTATTTCGTATATCCAGTTTCCGTATACTGTATTTCGCGGTCTTTGAAATGAATCGGATAAAATGCCAATAAACATGGATAATCGATTTCCACTCTTGCTGAAGGAATTATACAACAAAATGTAAGTAGTTTCAAAAACTCAGCTTTCTAGGCTTGACGGTTGCATTGATCATCAATCAGTCAGTCAGCCAATCAGTCAGATTTACTTTAATGCATATATAGATAAATATCATACTTACATTTCTTCTCGGTAAACTGATGCAGCAGACAGGATTTGCCTACGCCCATGTCACCAATTATGATGTACTTAAAAATATAGTTGTAGTTATAGGGTGCTGCAGTCATATTGGGACCTGTGGATTGATATTAAACATAATTTAAAATATATGCTTAGAGAATGGTTTCTTCTCGTTTAGGTAACTCGCACATTTTTCTATCAGATAATCAATGCGTTCGTAGAGTTTGTTAACAACACCCCGCATTTTGTGCCGTTTCACATCCATTTTGCTGCCGCTTTGGCGAACCACTCAAGACAGTTAACATTTGTTGCCTTTATATCGGACATATATATATATATATATATATATATATATGGAGAGCGCAACTTTAGTGTGGTGTCGCGACCTGTGCTTATCAAGCATTTGTAACGCTGCATTAATTCGTTTCAGCGTCGCTTCACTTCTGGATGCCTTTTGTGGCACGTCGCCAGCTTGGCCTGGGCCTGTCCCCAATTGTGAGTCTTGTGCCTCATGTTTAAACAGCCGTCCAGTTTGTTTATTGACTGAGCTAAAACCGAGCGGTTTTATTTGAAGAGTTGTCTCGCATTTGGGTCTTAACCCCCTTTTAAAGTTTTTCACATAGTCGCAAAACAACGCTCCCCGCGTGCCTATCAAATTACAGGCATTAAACAATGCCGAAATTATCAAAGTTATGGTAAAACTGGTGAGCTATCAAAATGTGGGATGTGTTTAAAAGAAAGCAAACTCATCAGAGGGATATTAAATGAAGATTGCAGTAGTGCGATTTTGGTAAGCAAAATGAAATCAGATTCTTAGTTTGTGAACTAGTTTTATCCACTGTTTCCCTGATAAATAGGTACATATATGATATATATACAGGATTAACTGACAAATCTAGTACAGGGATATGAAATAAACAATTCAGCAGTACGATTATGATAAGCCAAATAAAAGATGAATATTAGATTCTTAGTTTGAGAACTAGTTTTATCCACTGTAAAACTAGTTTTAACTCTGTCAAAATATGCAGCTGTATAGAATTATACATTCGAATTTGTCAATATGGGCTATTTTAAATTAATTTATTTGACTTGATTCGTGGTTGTTTATTAATAATAATCAAACACAACAATCAATGGATCGGCTAACGTTAATTTTAATACAAAATACATTACATGTGTCACGTAATGTACATATAATATTATGGCATGAATAAAGCGAATATAACAATGGCAAAAATATTATTCAGAGTATAATTTATTATTTATATGATATGTGTTTATTGAGTGAGTTACGAAGTTCGCTGTTGCCGCAAAACCATTTAGGCTCTAATGTTATTGTAGGGTTTACATATTTCGTATTGATTAATGACAAAACTAATGAATTTTGTTTGTTCTTAAAATAAAAAGGAATTAAAGAAAGTCTGAAACTTGCTAATAGTAATGACAAAACTTGTTTTAAAAAATCCTGATTGTGCTTAAACTAACCCAAAACGGCAACAATATTTTGGATTTTGAAAATTAACTTCACATAATTATTTTGTTTTTAAAACAAGTACAAACAGGCTGGGGAGAATTGCTTTTTATACCCTGAACCCATTAAAAATGGGTAATAAGGGTATAATGTATTTGTGCAAATGTATGTAACAGGCAGAAGGAAGTATCTCCGACCCCATTAAGTATATATATTCTTGATCAGCTTCAACAGCCGAGTCGATCTAGCCATGTCCGTCTGTCCGTCCGTCTGTCCTTATCTATGAACGCAAGGATCTCAGAACCTATAAGAGCTAGAAATTTTGGCTGTAGGTCCTCCTAGTGCCCGCGCAGATCGAGTTTGTTTCCGATATTCGATAACTTGCCCCGTTTCCAAGTAATCGATAAAAATCGATATAGAAATCCCGCTGTTTCCCGTTGCGCAATTTTGGTAAATAATAAGAGCTAGAGTCGCCAAACTTGACATGTAGCTTCTAGAATAGTATATATATATCAAGAATTTTTTATTTTATACCTATCGCCTGTCGGAAGAAGAGGGCTTAGAGTATCCCCTAGTCGGGAGCTCCCGACTAGAACCTGTTACTTGTTTCTGAGTTAATTTAGTAGCATATTGTATTGCTTGCAGTAAAATTCTGCATTATTCTAGTGGCTGTGTGTTGTGTGCCTATTAAACAAACAATAAATTATTGTACGCATTGCACACAGTATAGATTAAGGCTTCCCCCTTATCAGTCAATCACTGAACAATGAATGAAAGCGGGTGCAGCGCTTAGGAAATCGCAGCTCGTTCTAGTTGACTCAGAAAACAAAAAGTTGAAGCTTTAAATGTCTGTTGTGCATAAAAGACGTTGATAATGAGTTTTAAATTTATCGCAAAAAATAATTAATATATGCGTGTGTCTGTGTGTGTGTGTGTGTGTGTTCACATATATTCGTGAATATTCCCTGTGGCATGCTAAAGCACCGTTATTTGATAAAATAAACACAAGGCGCGCCCGGGCAATTGAGGGGAGTAGACCACAGCAGAGACCTAATATCAATTACAAGGGCAAGAGCGCGAGGGGGAAACTGCGCTGCCCTACAACAACATCGACAACAACAACTTAGCGAGTACTTTATATAGTACAAGGGAAAGTTGTCTTTGCATTACTCCCAGACGCCCTCACCCTCCCTTCGACAATGACACCCACCCACCCACACGTTACGTACATTATAAGACATAGTTTAGGACGCAACCAAATCTGCCGAACTATATAATTGGCTTAACAGCAACAAAATAACATATTACTCACCGTTTTAATTTTTCTGTATTTTGGTTTCAGCTAGGGAACAGGAATGTAGGGCGGCAACAACGAGCACGGGCCTGTCGGGGGGGTTAATATTGCTGTGTGCTTCTTTGTGTATGTGTGTAACGCTTCTGTATTTGTTTATATTTTCATTCAAGCAAAGGTGATACCAGCACAATTATGTGGCTATTTCAAATGCAGCACAATAAGCATAAATATGCGGGAATTTATAAAACACCAAAAGAAATAACTTTAATTAGCAAAGACGAAAACTGTTGGCAGCAAGCAGCAAATTTCTTTTGCGTTTTCTTGTTTGCAAATCTAGCGACGAGTTGCGCGGTGTTGCCACACTGGTTTTTGATATATGTATATATGGTAATCAAATTAACAGCTGTGCGCAGCACTTGCTGACAGTGCTGTAAAATTATCCAGTTATCTTGCTGCACAGCACTGCTATACCGCACGTGTTTTATTTTGTTTATGCACGATTTTTGATTTTAAAATGCAGTAATGTTTGTCAACGAAGTAAACGATGTGAAAATTTATAACCTGAGCGCCGGCAAATCGGTGCCAGATGTAAGTAAACGTTTATTAATTGGGCACAGCAGGCAATTAATGTTTGTTAAATTAAGTGGCTCACCGATCGCCGCAAGCGCTCACAGCTGAAGAAGAAGGCGGACTCCCGGCGCCAAATTGAGCTAATACAAGACTTTGATATGCCCGGCGTATGTACCAGCATACGAATGAGCCCGGATCAACAGTATATACTGGCGACAGGCACGTATAAGCCACGTGTTAAATGCTTTGAGGTCTCCAATCTGTCCATCAAATTTGAGCGCTGCTTCGACTCGGAGGTGACCACGTTTGAGGTGATAAGCGATGATTACAGCAAAATGGTGTTCCTGCAATGTGATCGCTATGTGGAAATCCATGCGGCACACGGACGACACTACAGGCTTCGCATTCCACGCTTTGGTCGTGACATGAAGTATCATAAGCCCAGCTGTGATATGTACATTGTGGGCGTGGGCAGGGTGAGTATACTGAAACACTTAGACAATCAATTCGTGCTTAATATTTCTCTTCGCCAGGATATCTATCGTCTTAATTTGGAGCGTGGCCAGTTTCTGCAGCCGTATGAATCGGACGCGAGTTGTTTGAACGCTTGCGAGGTTAACCCTGAGCATCAGCTGCTTACGGTGGGCAGCAAAGAGGGCACAGTTGAGGCCTGGGATCCACGCATGAAACAGCGGTGCGCCATCTTAGATGTGGCCATTAAACTGCCTGACGTCAAAGTGTTCCCTTCTGTCACAGCACTCAAATATCGCAATGGACTGCAAATGGCCGTTGGCACTGGCTCGGGACATGTGCTGCTGTACGATATACGTTCTCGCCAGCCGCTGCTCATCAAAGATCATCTAAACAAGGTGCCTATCAAGCGACTGGCATTTAATCCGGCACAGAATGCTGTCTACAGTTTAGACGAAGCCACGCTAAAGCTATGGGATGAGCAGACCGGCAAGCAGATTGCCTATGTGGAGTCTACATCGTCTTTTAATGACTTTTGCACCATACCCGATACGGGCATGTTCTTTTTGGCCCAAGAGGATGTCAAAATGTTGACGTACTATGTGCCGGCCATGGGCCCAGCGCCGCGCTGGTGCAGCTTCTTGGATAATCTTACCGAGGAGATTGAATCGGAGGTTGTGGAGAATGTTTATGATGACTATCAGTTTATTACACAAAAAGAACTCGCCGAACTGGGCCTGGAGCATCTCATAGGCAGCAATCTGCTCAAGGGCTACATGCATGGGTGAGTCAATGGCTTTATCTGTTATCAACTTCTTTTAAATGCGTTCTCCTTAACCAGCTACTTTATGGATGTGCGGCTGTACAATAAGGCAAAGGCTGTGGTGGAGCCGTTTGCCTTTGATCGCTTCCGTAAAGAGAAAGTCCGTCAAGAGATTGAGAGTGAGCGCAAATCGCGTTTGCAAATTGAATCCAAACTACCCAAGGTTAACAAGGAGCTGGCACTTAAGATTATGGACGAGCAGGCGAATCCCTCAAATAGCGCCAAGCAACGCAATATGCCCAGTTTGCTGCAAGATACACGTTTCAAGGCAATGTTCGAGAACAGTGACTTTGCGGTCAGCAAGGAGGCCGAGGAGTATCGTCTGCTCGCGCCAGTGCTCAATCGCCTGGACAAATCTAAGGCGAAGGCGATTAAACAGCGCATTGAGGTTGCACGCGTCTCTGAGCTGCACGCAGAGGAGGCGCAGACGCGCGAGGATAGCGATAACGATGAGGATCTGTTTGGCTTTGAGAAGAGCGATGGCGATAGTGAGGCGAGCAGCGGCGATGAAGCCTCCTCAGATGATGAGGATAGGCGTGAGTATGTCAAAGAAATGAAGCAGGCCTACAAACAGGTCAAGCGGCAACGTGATGACGAGGAAGAGGCTGAGCAGCAAGCAGAGAACGAGGATGAGGAGCCGGATGGTCCGGATGATTATGCGGCGCCACTGGCAAATGGCAATTACAACACGTCCAGCAGTCGCACGCAATTCAAGCTAACGGCGATGGACAATAACCATGGCAACAGCGAGGTGGAGCAACGCATCAAACAGGCCAGTCTACAGGATCGCGTGCGCGTCATGGCCAGCCTGGAAGGGCAAGTGACTAACGTGGGTCGCTCCCTGGGCAATCGTCAAATAACCTTTGAGGTGAATAGAGAAAAGAAGAACCAGCATATGGTAAAGAAACGCGAAGCGGAGCTGAAGAAGCATCGCGAGGAACGCAGAGGCATTGTGAGGAATATTAAATCCCTAAGATTGAAAAAGGTTAATTTTAAGTAGAATTTCGTAGACAGTGCTTGTACATAAAGTTTTAATTTATGTAAAAAAAAATCGTTAGAAAACTATTAACTGTAACTGGACCAAAATGATTTGTTCATTCTTCATTCAAATCGGCAACACGTATTATAAACTCCTGCTCAAATTCCAGCTGAGGATCATCAATATTGAGCAGATCTATGGGCTGTAGATCAACAAATTCCAATGGGATTAGCTCAAAATCGCTGTCATCGTTATTTTGCATATTATATATAGTTGAACTGGATTCTATGCTCAAATCACTATCGGATAATTGATCAATCATTTCTTCCTCCGATACCATATCAATATCTTGTTCCTCCTCACTTGTTTCTTCCGTTTCTAACTCGTCGTTTTCATAACCCGAATCGGGCTCTTGTTGGCAGGCCCAGTTGGCCTGCTCTCTGGATTCTACAGCTGAATTGTTTTTAATTTAATGGGAATTTGTTTCTTATTCAACAACCTACCCAAGCTCTGTTGTGGCGCATTCACTATCAAGTGGAGAAGCGCTTCTGTTACTGGTCCTGTTTTGGGTTCTGGCATTTTATCGAAATACAGTTGAAAATATTGTTCGGCATTTTCCAGCCTTAGAGGCCTTTCCGGTTTCCCAGTTTGTGTGCAGACCAGCAAGGCTGATTGCTCAGCTCCCATATTTTGGATTCAATTAAAAATTAATAAACATTTATTAATAACTAAGCAAGGACTGCTAAGATTTGCTTTCGCAATTCCTATTTGACGTTTCAGAAACAAGAATTATTTGTAATACCTTTCGCCAATCAACTGTTTAAAATGACAGAAAAGCGCAATTATGTGGCAACACTGGAGAGGCGCCAGATCCATGAAAGTTTATGCAACGCAACAAAAGCCGTTATATTAAAAATGTTAATGCAAACAAATGTGCAGATTAAGTGAAAATTGGAAAACTTTAAAGCATACAGCAACAGAATTTGCTTTGAAGTTAACGAAGACTTAATACCCTTACATACGTATATCAGATGTGAAATTCTCTATTATACAGGAACTTAGTGTCCAACTGGGCTATTTGCTTATGCAATTTAACTCTCCTTCAGTTTTGACAGGTTATAATATAATATGTTAGGAGCCTATTAAAATAAACAAATGCCAAATATTGAAAAATACTATTTTAAGGTGCTCTAAGCTTTACATGAATGCATTTTCGCACCTAAAAGTCTCATCAGTTTTCTATTTATCTTTCCAATTAAACGCTCTGACATTTATTAGCGAATTTCTATTGAGAAACACGGAGGCAAAAAAAAAAAAATTTTAATAATAAAAATAAATGTATGTCGCTAATTGTTTGGCATTTGTTTTTTATTTAGATTAAAGCATTAGTCAGCGTTTAGCTAGGCACAACAGTTATGAGCCATGCTACTGGAGCATGCGTCGGTATTCCTGAAACGATCCGAAGCGAAACAGTTCTCATTTAAATGCCGCCTCAGCCTCAGAGCTTTGAGCGCTTAGCTTTTGGCAAAAAAGCTCGGCTCTGACCGGTCCACAAAGCTATTGTTTATTATAGTTTAAGTGGACCGGCTTGTAGTTGGCTTTAATATTTTCTTTTTGGTATAAATAGGCGGCTGTTGTAGAATTTTCAGCTCATTTCAAGTTTTTCTTTTGTGCCGTGTGGTTTTGTCTTTAAGCGGTAGGTAACGGATTAACAAACTTTAACTAAGCAAAAGTGCAGTGGCATAAAAATATTATTTAAATAAATTACTAGGACAGCGGCTCAAAGTTCAATATTTAAATAACAGACTAAACAAAGGAATCAACTTGAATAAATTAACTTTGTACTTTTGTTCAAGTTTCATATCAAATTCAACTACCATTAACAAAGGCTAGGCATGCTGAATATAATAATTACATATAATTAAAATATTGTTAAATATTTTTGCCCGTTTTTCGCATTTATATGTTGCGTGCCATTAAACAATGGTTGCTAGATTACCATAATTCCAATAGTTGTACTCGAAATTCAAGCTTCAATGAACTCAACTCGAGCTGCATCATTTTTGAACGATACAAAATCGAATAATTGATGTTATTGTGCCGAGCAGACGTCAAAAAACGCTGATGTTTTATTTAAACAAATAAAGTAACCGGTTTGGCCAAAGGCCTAAAGCCAAAAAACGAGAAAAAAAAAATTGATTTAATGTAGCTAGACAAAACGCCGACGCCAACTTGTCCAATGCTGAACTTTAACATATAACAAGATATATATGCTTGTATATGAATATAGCTATATAAATCTCAGACTTGAGGCTTGGCTCTGTACCGCGACAAACTGGCTTGACACTTTTTTTGTTTTTTTTTTTTGGTGGGGGTCTTTAGGCAACGACAAGGTCTTCAATGCTCGACTGCGTCGGCGTGTGAAGAGCTTGCTTTGAAAACAGATCGTAGATCGATAGGAAACTAGTGAAGCATATATCTTATAATTTGCCTTGAACTTGAATTATTGAAACTTCAGGAAATGTTTAGCGCAATTGAAACATTTCCCCCTCACGACGCAATAAATTATATGATTTCTTGTCCCAAACGTAGCTCAATGTTCAGTTAAAGGTAATGGAATTGTACTGAAAACGGGTTTTATTTTTATGTATTATTTATTTTTTTTTTGTTTTATCGAAATTCGTGTAGCTCCAAAAACCAGTTGTATGTTTTTTTACTTCTAAAGCTCTTTTAATCAGCATGCAAATGCAAGCTGACCAAGTTGATAATTATTTTGTTATACATCGTATATACATGCGTATATATAAGTGCGTATATATTGAGAAGTCTGTGTTCCCATAATTCTCTGAAACGATTTATGGGCGACGCGTGTCTGAATTGCTTAATTTTTTGGTTTTGAAGTCTTAAGATGATCTTTGGTCAGTTGAACTCGGCTTTAAGATAGCCACATATCATTTGGGAACGACTTCAATTATTCAAGGCTAAGAGCCAGATGTACAAACTGCATCGAAATAATAAAAACTTGTCGTTGACAAATTGCATAGGCGGATTCTGGTTTTCAATTCATACATAAATTTAAAATGCAATATGGAGATAAAATATTATACACGTGTAGCTGGACAAGCTGGCCAAGGGCAGCGCATTGGGAAAAAAAATTCGCACAGCAGTGCAAATGTTAATTAATTAATTAGTAAAAAACAAGCATTTGCAATTAGCTGCAAATTAAAATAGATATTTAACGGCTATTTGAAAACGATAAGCAGCAGTGCATAACACTTTGCTGTTAAGTAACAGTACTGCATAATGTTAGCATTAACAGAGGGGCAGATGCTAATTTTAATATATGTATCAATGCTGAACAATTGTTTACATTGAATAGTTTCTGAACTGTATTTGCTTACTCCCCAACTTACAGACAATATGTTCCGTTTGCTCTTGATTGCCGCCTGCTTGGCTGTTAGCGTCAATGCCTACTCTGAGGGCGCCCCAAAGGCTGCCTGTCGGGACCTGACGCCCCAGCACGGTGCTGAGTTGCAGACCAAAAAGCCCCCATATAGCTTTTCCGGCTCCTCACATGTGCGTGGCGATCAGAAGTTAACATTAACTCTGGGCGGCGATGAGTTCTTGGGCTTCATGATTCAGGCTCGCGATGGTCAGAATCGTGTTGTGGGTCAATTTAAGGTGGTGGACACGGCTCACTCGCAGACATTGGACTGCTCCGGACCACAGGTGAGGCGTACAGCAATATAAATAAAATAAATTCAAGTATTTACTGGAACATTTATGATTTACAGGACACGCTCACCCATCTGAAGGCCACCAAGGGCAGTCCGCTGAGCGGAGTCACCTTCGACTGGATTCCACCAGCAGGTTACAAGGGTAACGTCAAGTTCATGGCCACTGTGGTGCAGACTGGCTTCGTTTATTGGGTGGGCCGTGTCACCAAGGACATTGATGTGGAGTAAATCAATTGTTATCCATATTTGTCAAATTGCTTTTATCACTTTTGATTTTCTAAATGTGTGTGTGCTTTCGTTTTATATGTTTATTTCGTCCTTTTGAAGGCTAATGGAATTTTTGTGATACATATCTCATGATTTATGTACATGTTTGAACTTGTTTGTAACAGTTAGTTGATCATATGCCAGTGTTAGAAAACAGTATTTTTTGCGCAATAAAGTCAAATATGAAAATGAAAAAAAAAACTTTAAACCTTACTTATAAATAAATGTGTACATATAAGAAAAACTAAGGAATACTTATAAGTTAAAACGAATACTTATAACTTTTATACGTCAGAAAAGGTCTGTTATTAATACCGTAAAGCTTTAGGACTAGTATTTAGGTCTGTGCCGCCATATACATAAATAAGTCTAAGTTATTAGGTTTTAGCATTGAATGCTTGTAAAAACAACTTCCAAATAGTTATTTGCATAAATAACGGTTTCGTCGTCATCGGGACACGGATTGTGCTGAGGTAATATCTCGCGATATGGATTCTCTGTGCAATTGTAGACGCGTTGAATGGCAATTTTATGACCTCTGGCCAGCACATTAACACAATTGAGATCCGAACGCGCCTGCATCTTAGTGGGCGAGGTAAAACAAATTGGGACGCCATAGGTGTAGAGAGTCTCCAAGAGGCAGCCATGCCAGCTATAGTCATCCTGCTCCGATGGCTGTACAGCATGCGGATATTTCCGTTCCACGATTCCTTCTGTCAGAGTGTCCATTGCAGCGAAATCGGGATTATATATAATAATCAGCACGGGATCTACTTTATGTGTCTTGGCAAAGCGCTCGAAAGTTTTTGGAAATGTGCACAGGACGACTTTACGTTGGCAGCCCTGCGGTTAGTTCAAATTAGTATGATATATATAGATATATAAATTTAATCTGCTTACCCCTTGCATAAATGTGAGCACCTCCTCGCCAGCTCGGGCCAGCAGCTTGTGCCCAATAAAGTACACTTCCAGCTGGCAGATATCTGGATATTGCAAAAAGAAGAACTTGAGATGCATTTGTTGAAAGTAGCTCCGATGCAGGTCCTGGGCGCCCACCACATAAACGCTGAGAATCTCACGAGGCGCGGCGACAAAGGATATATGGGTAAGCGCCAAGCAGAGGCTGGCAATGCCGCTGAACGAGGAGCAAGCGGCAAAGCGTTCATACTGCTCTAAGGAGCGCCAAGGCTGGCTATCAATTCGAATTTCTGTGGCAGCGTAAAACGCTTCCACCAAATGGCTGTGCTCCAAGTCACTGCGCTGCTTCAGCTGCACAATATCCAGCTTATTGGACAACAGTCGGTAGGGTGAATAGTAGAGTGCCAAGGTCCGGCACACGGCCGGCGTGTGATTGCAGCAATCCAAGCGTCGATGCTCCGCGGAGCAGTAGGCGACGCCCGCGCAGCCCGTGCAAGCTGTTAGCGGCTCTAGGCGATAGCAGACCACACAAAAGCCGGGATAGCCAATAAGTTCGCATTCGCGACGCGTCAACAGACGCCGCAGCTTGACACGGACCGCCAGCATAAGTTGAGCTATGGCCTGCTGTAGTTGGGCGCGTCCAAGGAGCGGGCCGGCTAGAAGCAGGGGATGTGCAATGTTTTGCGACTTTTGCAGATCAATGAGCACTCGACAAAAGTCACGATGTGCTTGATCCTCGACCAGATGTTGCAGGCTACAGTACCGTTGCATTTTACAGCCTCTGCAGATAATTTTGGGCGTGTCAAACGCTGTGGGCTCAAGCTCCTTGTTGTCATCTGCATCAGTCGACTGTTGTTGTTGTTGTTGTTGTGGAGGTTGTTGTAGGAACAGCTGTTGTTGCTTTTGCAATTCGCTTGCTTTATTTATAACACAAACATAGCACTGCAACGAAGACACATATTGCACTTGATTAATAGTTAAGGCGGACATATTTATGGCAACAAATATAACTCAAATTTAAATATTGTCTCAGCTTTGCGCGCAAGGTTCCATAAATATCCAGTGTCAGGGCTGGTATGCATGGGCCCGCCTTGCCAGATTGCGTAGCTAGAGAGCAAAATACACGCCGATGCAGACTGTGGCAACGCTGTGCATAAAACAGCTGTTCGGTAAAGTTTTTCAGCGCGTACAAATTGTTAAGTTTAAGTTTATTATATTACAACACAAATAGAACGCTAAAACATAAAATGTTGCGCAACCTGGTGCGCAGCTTTGAATGCACGCTCAAACTGCAGCGCCACACTCAAACAGCGCGCCTGCTAAGTAGATCAACAACTGCACGCCGTGCACTCTTTACACAATACGAATGCGAGAGTCGCTCGAAAAACAAGCAGTCAGTGTTGGCTACGGCAACGGCCGGGCTTAGTAGCCATGTCACGCCCCCTTCCAGCGAGGTGGACAATGAATATGTGCCGTATCGTGCAGAGGTGGAAACTGGCAGTCGCCTGGGACTTTTAATTTCAGCACTACGTGAACGCTTTCGCCTCACGGAAGATGAAGTGAAGCGTATTGTGAACGATGAGCAAGTGCAACGCAGCTATCGCAATCGCTGCCTAACTAAAACGCTGGACGCGCTGATGCTAGAGGGCGTCAGCAAACAAAGTTTTTTGGAATATCCCTGGCTGCTGGTCTTAGATCTGAGTAAGTGCGCATTAACATTAATTCTGACGTCGAAATGTTCAGTCTCAATCCTTGCAGAACGTCTGGGTCTCAAGCTACAGCTAATTAAATCCATGCATGTGCGCGACATTAACCACTTTGTTCCCTTTCTGCGTCTCACGGTGCCACGTCTGCGCAAGCTGGTGAGCGCTTTGAATGCAGAATCCAATGAATTACCGCAAAAGAATCGTGTTTACTACATCAGTGAGAAGCTAGACGTCAGTCCAGAGATAGTCACCAAATATCTGTCGAAACGATTGTTCATACTGGAAATGCCATATGAAATGTTTGAGAAGAACTTGCAGCACATGATACACTACAATGTATCGCCCATCAATATACTAAAAGATCTGTGGGCATTTCGCTATACGCCGAAATCGGTGGAGCTGCGCTTGGAGCGCGCTCAACGTGCCAAGAAGGATAAAATAATGCCCTGGATGGTGCGCTGCCCGGAACCTATACTGCAACGGTGAGATAAATCAGTTTTGAGCATAGTTTACCAATTGGACAAATGATTTCTTGTAGCTCGCTGAAGCTATCGCTGGACGAGCTGCAAGTTTTGGGCAAGTTCTCCTCTGTGGTGGAGTACATAGCGCATCGCTTGGGCTTCACCGTTAGCGAAACAAAGGCCATTATGGACCGACATCCGCAAGTGCATACAGTGCGCGTTACCAAGGTTCGGAAAAGTCAGAAAGTCAACTTCATTTATATATGTGCATATAGCCAACCCATTTTACAGATTAAAGAAGTGCTGGACTATTTGCTCGATGAAGCCAAATTTACGCGCTTTGAAATAGCTCAAGTGCCACGCATTTTATGCCACAGCTTAAAGACCACACGACACCGCATGGATGAGTTGGCATCGTTTGGCTGTCGACCCTCCTCGCTGGTCATATTGTGTCGCAGCAGGCGGGAATATGCCAAATTTTTGCAACAATGGAACAATCAGAATGATAGTGCGCCACCAAAGGCAACAGATAAACAGCAGTTGACTAGGTAAGAGCACTCTTTTATCTGTTGTTCTTTTACGTCGACTGATTCCTATATAGTATATATTTTTCTATTAATCTGCGACAAGTTGTTGATCTGTTTAAAAATTCTGTCTGTTAATAAAATGAGAAAATGTTTTTGGAAAGCTAGAAAGCTCGTTGTTTAGATCTATCCTTGGAGAAGATACTGAAATATTGTCACAATATTTTATATTCATGTTCATATTTAGTCATATCATATTTTTAATCAGTAGATAAGTCGATGAGTCCGTCTGCTCAACCTATTTTTTATGCTAGCTAGTGTCTGACTATTTTCTATATTTATAATACTGAACAAAGATCAGTTTTCTTGTATAAGGAGAGTCGAAACTAGAAATGGAATTGGGATAGGCGGGATGGGTGTGGCGGTTATGGATTTTATCGTAAAATATCGGCGGATCCAGGTATTATGTCTGGGTCCTAAAATTATATTTAACCAACGTTTAACAAGAAATCATAAAGTTTAGCAAATCTTCTACGTGTGCTCAAAAGATTATGAGACTGTTTATATAGTAGTTTAAACTAAAACTTATTTCAGAATTTATTAATTAATATGACTTGTAAAAGAAAGTAACGCAGGTATGATAATGTTAAACGGTGAGACGAAATGGGAACTGTCTGTTACGGAATGAGATCGAATTTTCTTTCCCTGATAATCAATAGTCTAGACCCTCATTGGAAGTATCACTCAACTCAACGTCTGACTACAATATTATAAATCTCTAGACAGTTTTTGTATAGAAACACCATTCAGTTTATAGACACATAGATGGTGCATTTGCTTTAAGTATGAAAGACATTAAATAATTGATATTTTTCCCATATTTCTGTCTTAAATTTTTGACGCATTTATTTTCGACAGCAACATTTTAAATATTTGAATAATTTGCTTATTTAATAGACATAAATACATTTATATTTAATTAATGAAACAGCATAATGCGTTTTATAAATTTAAACAGCATGCTTAGCTAAAATTTAAATATGTTTTGTGCTTTTTGTGAATACCATTCAATAATTGTACTTGGAACAGAACAGCGATTTAGCAAGTGCCCATCGATTGATTTGTGTTTCGAACAGACTTAGTAGCTAGAGAAGACATTGAGAACAAGCAACCGGCTGAACTTAGTTTAAATATAGTTAAATATAAAGCTTTTGTTTAAACATTTGTGAATACCTTTTTCTTTTGAAATTTTGGGGCGCTTTTAGAACCGCCAAATAAGCTCGTTAAAAAACTAAAAGCTAAGAACCTTTGTGTGATAGCTTAGAAATATCTTTGGTTGGTAGCGCATTTGTAATTGTATATAGGTGTAAATCAACTAGTTATAAAGATTGTACTTTGGAATTAGTCGCGTAACGCCCGGCGTCGCTCCCAGGCCACTTGCATCGACCAAATGCTCAGGGGTCGCATATAGCCAATCGAGCGATAACGTTTCTCGCCATATAGTGCTTCCGGCGTCTCATAGTTCATGCCAATGCGCTGCGATATGGTCTTGTACATGCCGCCAGCAGTTTGGAAGGCCTCCTCGAACATGCCCTCTTGTATCATGGTGGCCGCTAGAGCATACACAACGCCCGGCCAGACCTCCTCGGCCTGTATGTTACTGTTGTCCACATGGCCCGGCTTTGAGGGCTCGCTGGCATTCGCTATGAAGCCATTTGCGGCGCCAATGTTGCCCTCATGAAAGCCCATCACATTGTTGTCGTAGATGCGTTTGAGAGCTGTGCGCACATTCTCCTTGGGATAGATCTCATAGTCAAAGCCGCAGGACTTTAAATACCAATGACCGCAAAGCTGATCGGCCATAATCGTATCGCGATGATTGTGTGACAAATCAAAGCGATAATAGCTGCCATTCCACAGTTTCTCCTCCAGCGAGTGCTTGCCCTTCTCCAAGATATCCTGATAGCGCAAACAGTCGTTGGGCTGATCCAAAAGTGTGGCCATGACGGACATGGTTTGCAGCGCAGCCAGCCAGAGGCCAGCACAATAAGCGCTCGGTCCATCCATGACCCAAGAGTCATAGGTCTGATCCGGCATTTTGGTGTTCTCAATGAGGCCATCATTGTCCTTGTCATACTCAATGGTGCGCTCCATAATTGCCTTACAGGCGCCATACATGGCCTTTAAATAGACCATGGCATCCATGAGATAGACTTTGCCATTGGTTTCATTGATGTACATAGAGGCAGATTTGCGATTCTCTTAAGGGATTGAGAGACATGTAGAGATTTTTATATAATACACACTAGTTTACTCTTACGCTGCTTCTCCTCCGCCGAGTTCTTGCGCTTGTTATCCTGCGTGTACAGCTCGTAGAGGCTCTCCTTGTCAATGAACTCAATCGAACTGAATTTACTGGCATTGTCCGCCTGCGCTTGGGCCAGTTCATTGAGCACATAGTAATCTCTGTAGACCTGCAGCACAAACTTGGTATTGAGATCCTTCCAGTCATTCACATCGTGTATGTTATAGCAATTGATCAGTGTAAAGGGTTCTACAAAAAAGTTTTATATTACATTTTGCTTGCAAAGGGAAGTGCGTTGTAGGATTTGCTGATTTGACCAAGTACAGACCAAGGCCTTAGCAACTTGCCTTCATCGGGATCACCCAGATCGTGTGGCACGCAGTTTTTGACCTTGCGCGGCATTACTTTTCCATCGTAGAGCATTTTGCGTGTATCATTCAGCTCGGCGGCAATCGCATCTTTGAAATCATATTGCAGGCTAACCTGCAAATTGGGCCACAGATGCGCCAACGCGGGTGAGGCATAGAAATGCACATCGTACGTGTTGTACATGCGATACTCATGACCCTCCAGATAACCAAAGCGACCATATGCCAAGCGTGGATCATCAAAAGCCAGCGACTGGCCCAGCGATGAGTCGCATTTCAGCCAGATTGTGCCGCCATCCGAGATGAAATAAAGCTGATTGAATATGGCGCATTTATACCAATCAGGGAGGGCGCTATAAAAAATAAACGAAAGTTAAGCTTGGGATTAGCTATATATAGCTGATATTTAAACCTACTCATCATTCAGTATGGGTCGCTGCCAGGCATCGATGAGCCGCTCCCAGCTGGCATAGTGCTTCAGTGCATATTCGCATATCCTGGGGCCAGACTCGCCGCTGTCATCAAAGTATTTGGTATAGTAGCGTGTGTGCGTTTGCAGTTTGCGCGGAAATTGTATCTTGGGCATGTCCCAGGCCAGCACAAACTCCAGCTCATGGTAGGCCTGCGGCTTGAGTGCCAGCTGTGCGCACACAGCTACACCTATGTCCTTGGCTGTGGGCAGAGTTTCAAGATTAATGTAACCAGATCCAAATGTACTTGCTTTTTTGTTGATTTATAAATTGAATTATTTTAAAACTGTGAAGAATACAGGTTCGAACCTCAAACCTTGGTGAAAGCTTCTACTTACATCTCAGAGTCTCCGCGGTGGGCTGCTCGCTGAGCTGGCCATGCTCCTTGAGCTGTGCCCACAGCTGCTCGCCGTTGCCAGCCGGATCGAATTGGGGACAACGTGTTATGCTTATTTCGGGTAGCACGCGGCAGGCCAGATTATAGCTGCAGGGCATATCTGCAATTGTCTGCCTAATGGCCACGCCCTTGGCATTGCCCTCGCTGATTAGCTGCGACTCGGCATTGCCGTCCGCATCCTGTTTCTTGTTGCCGGTGCCATTCTTAAACGTAAACGTAATGGAAACCTTGCGCTCCTGATCGCACACATTTTGGGCAGACCATACGAAGACGGCGCAGGGCAAACTGGACTCCTTGTAGTCGTGCGGGATCACGGGCGAGATCTGGCGACAGATCAAACGGACACCATAGTGCGACAGATCGTATTCGGTCCAGGCGCGTGGATATAGACCCGTATAGCTGCAACGGGAGTCCTCGATGTTCGAGTGCCAGGCACTCAGTGGCTGCCTGGGTCGGCTGCTGCAATTGGGCAGTTGACATTTAGATTTTTGTGCATCGGCCTCATCGGCCTCTGCATCGTTGTTGTTGGTCTTTGACTTAAATGATTTGGTGCTACAGATTCGCATATGCATATATATGATATATATATATTTTGTTTGCATTTATGAATGGATTGTTGATAAGCAAAGCAAACCAAATCGTTTCCCGAAAGCAACAAAAATAAACCCAATAATAGTTTTTCCATTTTCCCCAGTTTCAGAACGTGTTTTGATTGTTTGATTGTTGTTGTTGTCGATTAATTTGACGTGTTTTGGGTGCAGCCAAAATGAGAGAGAAAAATATCACGTTGTGAAAAATATAAATTAAATTCATTGACATTAGACCGTTAATTAGTGGATTACCAGAATCTTAATGTGGTATTGATTAGTGCTCGAGTGAAGAGAAAAGGTTTAGCCAGGGGGATAAAGGAATAGTACGAGATCAGAAGTAAGTCATGGATGTGTTACTAGTAGAAGTTAAAGTAGAAGTATAGCAGAAAGTATATATACTACAGGGCATTAAAAAGTCGTGTTATAGGGTGTAAGAAATTAGTTTTAGAATTAAAACATATGGAAATATGAAAAATATACATGTACAAATATGTAATTTTATAATCATACGTGATTTTTTATTAGTCATTATGAAGATTAGCTTTGTAATTATTTTTAATAACATGTTATCAAGACAACAGATAGTACAGACTATGTTAGCTGCTAATGCAAGACGTGCTGTTAACGTTAACATTAACAGCATAATTTTCACAACTTTTTGAGGCTTTTGAACAGAGATTATGCCAGCTGTTTGCCTGTAATATTAACAGCAATATTTTAACAGCATCAGTTTAACATTTTTAGGCATGAGAGCCCAGTCTGTTAAATAGTCAAGACCTTTTAGATTCATGTAGAAGATATAAAAAGTTCATCAATAAAGTCAGCAAAAGCTGAAAAAATGAAATGCTAATTAAAACGAAGACGAATTGGTGTAAGCTTATAAACTTTTTCATGAGATGACTTTCACGGCATCAAATAAACAAAAGCTCAAAGCTGAAAGCAAGTTGTGTTTACAAATACAATAAACTAAATTACGCGAATCGCGTGCTATTGTATAGCACCAGCTGCGTATAGAATACAACATGCTATGAAAAGTACAGAGTAATAAATAAGCATGAATTAAGAATTCCCAGTGGGATCTCGAAAATAGCGAGAAAATCAAAAGCAGAAAGTCAAGCAGAGGTGAAATATTAAATTATGAAAATTAATGGAAGACTTAAAGTTATATTTGAGAGATATATCACAGTCAAGATAAAAGTCACTCACCTGCACCTGGAGAGCAAACTCTGAAAGATGGTGCAACCTTTGTGATCCTTGATGGTGACAATAAATTGATTGGCATGCACCACATTGTACTCATAGATGCCGGGGCGCATTTGAAAGCGACAGAATTCACCGGCATAGCCGCGTCCAATGCTGCCGCCACCAATGCCACCGATGGGCACGCCATAGATCTGTTTACCGTTCTCCATATAGTAGTAGTCCATGTAAACCCGACGACCTTCGCGCGACACCTTCCAGTAGTAGGCGGCATATCTGCAAAGGGAGAGCAGGCCAAGAGGTCATTAGATTTGAGCCACCCTAACGGACCCCTCACTTCATTATGTTGATGATGTCACATTGGCGCGTGAATGTTTGCCTAGCCCCAATACGGCACCCGGCTGGTCTTTGGACAAGGGGTTGGTTTGTGGGCTTTGCCACACACACAACACACACATATCGAATTTAGGGCTAGTCAGCTTGGCCAGCTTAACATTCCAGCCCGTGTCTCGATTTGAAGGTCAGTGTCTCTCAGTGGTGCCCAAGTCAAGTGCACGTGTGGCGGAAGCCAAGCCCAGTTGCAGGGTCAATGGCGTCGGTCACCAAGCGGAAATATGTGGGCAACACTCTAATATTATGTTAAGTGCTTCGATATGTGATGAGTGTGAGCCAAGTCAAGCTGCATTAAGAAACAAAACATTCTAGAAACTAGACTGTGGTTAAAGCAAATAAACATATTTCTCTTAACATGCACTTTCAGTTGTCGTCAAGTTTAAGTTAACATCAACAGCGCAGCGTTGCCACCTAGCCTTAAACTTGTGTGCAAATTCGCATATGGCAGCACCAAAAAATTTACCCGCTTGGTATATTTATCATGATGGTAATCATGAATCCATATACTTGCTTGGCTCTCTAAATTCTCAACTTGGCGTGACACCTCTACACACACCATTTGGCTGACTAATGGACAGCTGTTCTGAATGCTAATAAGTGAGCTGAACAATGGAAATGTTTATTTCGTATTGAACATTGAGTTATATTTTATTATTTTTGTTCATATAAACCCCACAAAATATGACTTAATAGTTGTTATACACATAATAATAATAAAAATCTTCAATATATCCATTAAATGAGAAATAATTATAGTATAGCCAAAATGCATTTAAGCTGCTCGGTAAATCTCAATATAATCTCTTCAGAGAGGAACTGAGATGGAGGAGCAACACATAGCACAAACGCTTGATTGCCACAAAGGGATTTACATATCATGTGGCAGCCGCAGCGTCGCGCTTCAATTTCAATTTATCCAATTATTTTCAATTATAAAATGAAATTTCTGCTTGCAGATTATATTCTTCTTTCTTTTTTTTCGCCCCTTTGCGTTCTTGTTCCAAAACCCTTGCCTTTTAAATAATTAAGCCGAATATTTGCTAAGCGACGCGAATCGACGCTTCCTTTCTAACCCCTCGAAAGTGGCAGCAGAAAATGTGCCCAACCGCAAAATGTTGGCAGAGATTCCAACAATTCCATTGGCAGGCCGCAAGGCTCTTGACTTTTTAATTAGCTCTCAAAAAGTGAGCTATTTATGGGACTTTGCTCAGGGCGGGGCCTAATGCCACATCTTCAGGGCTTAATACATTTTTGTCTTTTCCAAATTTATATGGTGTTATCTTAAAATTTTGCTGTTATGATATTGCAGGAGTTATCCTAAGTGCTTTCATGTGTTATCGATAACATATCGATTCTGCATTTATGGCAGCTATTTCACAATTGTACTACAATAATTTATCGACAACTTATCGATATTTTAACTTAAAAATGCAATATTGGTTGAGATTGATATTGCATATATAATCAATAAAAACCTTGAAGAAGCTATGGAATTATCAAAAGCTGCCTTGCATTTGTATAAGTTATCGAAAACAAATCGTTGCTGAATTTGCAACTTTATGAGTTAGGTTAAGCATTTTTTTATTCGACGTTTTTTCGTCAACAGTGCTGTGTTACAATAGTTTATCGATAACTTATCGATTTTGTATGGAAAATCTCGTGTATTCATTTATTGAGCGTCTTTATTCGATATGTTTCGTATAATGCATGTGGTGTTACTTGGTTCAAGTCAAAAGTCAAAGACGCAATCACTTACGACAATTGCAATTTTTGTTGGCCCGGGGCCGCAAGTTCCAAAAAGTTTGCTTTTTAAACAGAGTTGGGGAAACTACAAAATTTGTGCCTATAGGTTAAGGTATCAACAAAAGTATTGCTGCATTCGACAGTTAACCAAAACGAATCAAAACTCGACGAGTGTCAATTTCTTTAGCATGGTGTAGTGTGCTTTAGATCCAGCTCTGAGTCGCCAGCGCCAACAAATTCGCTATTCGATCGATTACGTAGTTTGAGCGTATCAACTGCCTCCGGCATTGATGTAACCCCTGTCAGCTCCTCCTCGCAGAGCACCGAGGCCAACAGCTGGGCAACAAATTCGGCTCGCTGTGCCAGAAATGTGATCTGCTCCTCGGGCGGACACGGTGCACTGGAGGCGGATGACAAAAATGGATAGCAGAGGTAGCGTTCACGTTCCAGCTCCAGCTGCTTGGACTCTGTTGTTGGCTGTTGTTGCTGTTGCTCCTCCTCCTCGATAGTGCGCAACATGACCGCACCGGAGGCCACATTCTGGCCAAGCAGCTCGTTAGCTCCATGCGCCAGTTCACTGAACTCGACCAGACGCTGGCCCGGACCGGGTCCGGGCGCCGGACCAGGACCGGGCCCCCCACGCAAACGCTGGACATGCACCTGGCGAACGCCGCTGGCCGGAAAACCTTCCATTTGCATGCGCGGCGCACGATGTCGCTGGGCGCGGGTTCTGGTTATCTCGCCGGGCGGATAGAAAGCGCGTCGCATATTCTCGGCCGTTGCATTTGGTCCAAACAAATTGATGCTGCGCCCGCTGGCAGATTGATTGGGCGACTGGTTGGCCACAACGCGAAAATTGCCCGGACGATTTGGCCGACTGGTCGGCAGCGGCTCATTGAATCGCATCATCTCTGAGAGCGTGGGATGATGGCCGCCGGTTAGCTGTTGCTGGGGCTGCTGCTGTTGCTGCTGCACCGGCAGCGGCGGTCGGTCAAAGTTGAGGCGATGACGCGCACGATCCAACAAGGATTGACGACGAACTGGATCCGGTATCAGAAAGTTATTGTCCACGTTGTGGCTGCTGTTGGACGCCGTCAAGTTACCACCTTCGGCTACCCAGGGTGCTACCTCAACGGCGCCGGGCTTAGCAACACGAAATGTCAGCGGCGAGGCGGGATGCTCCCGCTGATAGCTGCCATTGGGATTCAGTGGCTCTAGAAATAGCTCAAGCGAACCCTCATTGCGGTTCATCAGCTCGTTGCGTGACGTTGCCGCCGAGGCAAATACCGCCAGCTGTTCGTCCTCCAGAAACAGACGAACCGCCTGCTGTTGCTCGAAAAGCGTTACCATTGTGGACACCAGCAACGTGCTGGCGCCCACATGTTCCGCGGACACATGCTCCAAAAATGTGGACTCATTGTAGCCCCATTGCTTGCAATACGGACATCTATAGCTTTGGGGCGGATCATTCAGATATTCGCCGCCAAAATATAGCTCAACATCGGCTGGCGTAAAGACACACTTCACCGGATGATCGAACGGATGCTGTGCGGTAGTAAAATCATTATCATAACACTCCGCACACATATTAAAGTCCTGGCAGCTCAGGCAGCGATAACAGCGACCCGTAAAGTCCACCTTGCTGCAGCCCTTGCACACAATGTTCTCATGACGGTTCATCCTACTATCTGTGTGTGTGTGTGTGTTTTTCTTTTATTTATTTCATTTTTGGTATAATTCATTAGACGATCTGCTTGGCCAAGAACTTATTTACCTGGAACTTACCCGATTGCGCAAATATCAATCGCAATGGAGAAATTGTTCCCATATATGTATGCACACACAACGCTTTCACCGGGATACTTCAAATACATACGAAATTACAAAATAGAAGTAGCTCGTAGTAATAAATTGCTTAGGTCTTTTAACTGATTGACTGAAGAGATTCGGAAATGATTTTTTTAAAAAAATATTTCATGATAATAAACTCAATGGCTGTTGTTTTTCAACAATTTGAATGTGTTAACGAAAAAACTACAAGAAAAACGTTTATTAACTGTTGGAGTTTATTTATAATTTCGTTTTTATTTGTACTTGAGCAGCTTTAGTTCGAAATTTTGTTGAGAAGCGTTTTTCCAACTTTTTCATCAGACATGGGATCGGAATGGAAATTCAGTTGGCATTTTAAAGTATGGTACTTTAAGATTTCAGGCATGATCTCGAAATTTCCGCGATAATATAATTGGATGCCGTAATAAAAGCAAAATAATAAAAAGAAATTAATAACTTGTCAAGAAGTTGCATTTATATAGGCGAAGGCCTCAGAGAAGCTCAGTCCAATTTCAGAACAACCTTTTTTGCTGATTCCTTGAAGGTATAGCCTTTACTTAGCACCTTCTTACATAGCTCTATAGCATACCTAAGACATATAATGAGCTGAGTTTGTATTAATCCTAAGCTGATTAAAGCCACTCTTGAGCTGACTCTAGGAACTGACCACTAGCTGCGCTGTTGATGACCGTCAGCAACTATTTTATAAATTAATTTCATTCTATCCATTAAGCCATCCATCAGTTGCCGGCAAAGTGCAACAATATTGCCAACTTCATTTGTAACTTGCCACAAGCAATTTGCCTTCCTGTGTTGCACCTTTCCGCCCCGCCCCACCCACTTGACCCGCGTTGAACCCCACTGCCATAGCAAACTTTTTGCTGTGGTGAAAATAAAAAATGGTTCCGTCCACGTTTTCTGAATTAAGGGTAGACTATGCTCGGTTGGCTGTCAAGCTTGCAATTCAATTAAAAAGCTATTTTCATGTCAGTCCAGGACAACAGCTCGGAATAGATACGTATGAAATGGACTCGGGCAACAAATATGTATGCTAATCAAATTCCGAAAGCTGATGAAATCGAAGAGCGAGAAAGAATGATATGTCGAAATATTCCATACAAAATGTATGCCAGAGTAAAATAATAAATAAAATTGACAGGTCACGAAGAATGCAGACGAAATGCGGCAAACTTTTATAAATACAAAATCGGATAAAATATCGTGAAGGTGTTAAAAAATAAATATCGGTTTAGATACCTATTAAATAAATAAACCACTATTAAAATTTATTAAAAAATTTTAATCTTAACGAATAATCTAATAAATAATATTTACATTAATAAATAGTTTCAATACATATTACAAAATATATAAGGCATTTTATTAATCTGAAAATAATCTATGATAGATTCCTTAAATATCTCCTCAAACAAAATCAATCTATAAGGGGAAATTTTCATATCAAATCTTTTGAAAAGATTTCGATTCCGTCAACATTCCATTAAAACATTTACTTTCATGGATCATTCTCTCTACTTTTTATGGTAACGATAAATTGTAGCTCCTACTTCCAGCAACATTTAATGAAAACAGGTTCCAAACTTTACACAGCAGCAGCCGAAATTTTGTTTTTCTTTAATATTTGCCCTGTTAATTAACTCTCACTTCCATCAACACTAATTTCGAAAGTTTTCATTTTGGCAGCTCGTAAATCCCGTACAAAATTAATATAAATCTCTCATTCGGGTGCATTTTTAATGCAACACATCTACTATTCCATAAATATAAAATTCCCTGATGCATACACGCAGCGCATAGATTCAGGAATTTAAAATCACATTTTTTTCAGCATTTCAGACAGAAATAAAAATAAAGTGAAGAAAATTCTTCCAGGGAAAGCCAAAAATAAACAAAAATGCGACAAGTTGACAAAACGTTGAAGAGAAAAACTAAACAAGCCGAAATCTCGGCAAAAGAAATACAATTTCCTTAGTTTTATGGAGACGAACAGAAGATTTGTTGTTGTTCTAGTTGTTTTTAGAAGGCGTCAACTGAAATGCCTGGCATGGAAAAACAATAATGAAAAGTGCTTTTGGGAGTGCAGCCTGAATGCCTGGATGAGCACATGATTTGAGTGCAGACAAAAAATAAAACAGAGTGAAGGAAATAAAAAACGGAAAAACAAGGAGTTACCCTTTGCCCAGAATGAACTAGGAATACATTCGTAATTAGTCACATTCACACATTCATGAAAAAAAGCTCATATACATAAATATTGATTCTTTTCTCTGCTCAAAACAATTAAAAATGAATTCAGGAAGTAAATATGGCATTTAAATATTTACACATACCAAAAATCAAAGCTATATCTAATAGGGATGCCAATGTTGCCCTAACAACACGTAGTTGCAAATCGATATTTATCAATTTTGGATAAGACGGATAAACTTATCGAACACGTTAAATAGAGGGATGCCAATACTGCCTTATTGATCACATTAAATAGCGGAATGACAATGTTGGCCTAATAAACCTAAGCTGAATATCGATATTTATCAATTTTAGATGAAAACGGATGAAGTTATCGATAACTTTAAAAACTGGATCTACGATAGGCTTGATATCGATAAACAAATGGATATGGATCAATCGAATCGAATGTTAATATTGAGCAACCTTTAAGGCTTGAAGTTACGTACTTTTGTGTGTTACATAAAGATCAAAAACTGTATTGTACAAATTTCAAACCAATTTCAAATTCAACGGGTACAAGGTATTAAAATAACTTTATTATCCATTTACAAGCTACAACGAGATGCATTCAACCAGGAATGCGGTTGGCAAATACGGGAGAAGGTCGTATAAAATGCTCGCCTGGTAGCTTGCCAAAAGCATTTTATGTGTGACGGAAGCATCAAATGCGAGAAACATGAAGGATTCAGTACTTCTGGCGCCAGAGGGTCTTACGACAGACACGTTATTTTCTTTATGTACGCAATTGATGCTATCTTTGATTGTGTGTAGAACGGAATGGCAATAAGGAAACGGATATAGCTGAGATGTTGAAATGCTGAAATTGTTACAGTGAACCCGCATTCAATTTGCAGCTGTGCGGCAGTCTTTCAATTGGGTCACTATTTCAGGGCTTATCAAAGCTGGCTATACTTGGAAGCGTGTATAGTATATATTAAATGTATTCGTACAATATGGCAAAGCTTTTTCTAATCTTTTCACGCCTTTTTTTTATCAAACATAAAAATTGAACAGCTGAAATGTTGTCGTGATTAGATTATTACTAACCAAGAAATCAGCGTTGTCTGCAAGGTTCAGAAGGAAAATAAGTCTGACCAAAGGCGAGTATTTATAATACACTGAGTCATAAAAGTAGACAATTTAGAACTTTACAAAAACATAATGCCTCGAAATATCAATTTTAAAAGAGGTTATACTGTTAAAGAAGTTAAGGCTCTAAAACTAAGAGACAAAAGGGACCCGTTTGTAATGTTCCTTGCAAATTTTATCCTCATTGCAACTCAATATAAGTTACTAAGGTGGCAACCCTATCTCAGAAATTTACCGAGCAGATTTGTTTGGCAATTGTTATTTACTAGGTAGATAAAGCGCATTGCATCGCTTGTCAAGCCGATACACCTAAGATGGATGTATAGTAAATAGAAACAAACTGATAATTCCTGAAGCATAAACAATTTTTACAGCTAACAAAACACTGTAATCCTAACATTTTGGTTTATCATGCTTGAACGCAAAATCAGATTCAACAACTCATTTTATATAAACAACAAATACGATAAGATCCCATAAAAAATGTTAACTAAAATATGTGAAACGAACGTATATTATATATTTAATTAGGCTGGCAGGGTTAAACAAGTAGTATTTTACACATTCCCGGATAAGGTATAGAATGACACAATGTTCTGATATCTACAACTGGCAACCGAATTATTTTAAGACTTGAAGAAATCCAAATATCAAATTTTTAATTCTTGATATACATACCGAAATACTAAAAGTATGAATGGTAAATATTTGTAGTTAGGTAGATAGCAAAAGTTGCACGGAGGTGTCATTTAAAAGATTTTTATTAACAAAACAATTGTCAATAAGGCAAGGGCAAATATTTGTTTAATATGAGATAAGTATAAGTAACACCTAAAATATGTAAAGAATTTAATAGAAATACAGTGATCGCTCGCAATACAGAATGATTTTTAGAAAGAGCTCATATTAATTTGATTGCTGAAAAATTAATAACTTCTAAATTTATCATACTCTACTTTAATTTTAATAAATCCCGAAGCACAATTTTCAAAAACAATTTCTACAAAACTTACAAAAACTTATTTTTTGTAAATTAAAAAGTAATTTGTCCGAATAATAACAAATATTACTCTAAAAACCAAAACAATTGATTCAAGGCATCCAACTTATTTAATAGGCAGACTTAAATTTCAAGAAACGGTTTACTTTGAACTTAGCGAGCGACCACTGTAGAAATTTATATCAGTTGCTCCCGTGTGCCTATTCTTGTGTGTAGTCAATAGTCAGATCCCAAGATGCTGAAGCTCTGACCCACATTCAGAACACCCAAAATACAGGTTTGTCAGCGAGTTCATTGCACTGGTTAAGGCGAATGGGTGGGTGGTTGGGATTTCGGTTGGGGTGCATTTCAGATAGGTCAGTTCGCTTTGCGCTGATTGCCTACTTGGCAGTCCAAAAATGGAACAGCTAAGAATTCGTGCCTGAGGTTGACTGTTTGTAAAAGCCAACGCAAACAAAGTACAAACATTTTCAGGTTTTTTTCTTTCTTTATTTTTGTTAGTGCCTCAAATGTGGCCAGGACACGCTAACGGGCGCCCAAGTCGGCGCCAATGCGGGCAGACAAAAGGGGGCGGCAATTTGAGTTGTGGCGCCGCAAAAATGGGGCATGCGGGCACCTACGACAAGCTAAAGCCAACTGGGTAAGCCATATAGCAGTGTGCTGGTATTAAGGTTCTTATCAAAGGACACAGTTTCAATTGATGTCAAACAAAGCCGTACATATCAGGCAATCAATTCCTCAGAGCAGACTACCGACTAGGCAAAGATGAAAACTATAGTTATAGAAAAGTCGGGCATTGCTTGTTATATTCTGTGCGTACTAGAGATGGACGCGTTTTATGAGATTTCCAGTAGGTAGAGGATACCATCTCATTAGCTCACATGACATTTTAAGTGACATGTCTTCGAGTATGTCTGTAAGCATGAACGAAAGCCGACTTGTTGATTATTTTGTATATCCTATTTAGTTATTAATTAATTCTAAATGTCTTGTATCACACTAAAAACTATCTTAAAAAACAGACAGTTGTTTAGTGAAGCAAGAGATCCCTTCATTAAGAGACTACATGGTTTGGGAAGAAATAGAGTAAAAAGACTAGGCTTGGATAATATTTATTTAAGTATTATTTAATTTTTTAAAAACTTGTAGGCATATAATTTGCTAAGTCAAATTTGTGCAATGCCTTTAGTAATCTGATATAATATTTCATTTGATTGCTCAACTTTAATTTGAATATTTCTTAAGCCATTATTTTTTTTCGTGCTTTTCGTGATTTTAATGATCGTGTCCTGCAGACACGACTCGCTGCCATCTCTAATGTAAAGCCTTTGCTACAGGCGAATTAATGTCATTTAGTTGGCGCCAAGCGAACAAAAGTATTCAATTTATGAATATGCGTGTGTGTGTGCGTGTGGTATGTACATGTGTGTGTGTGTGTGTGTTTGTGTCGCCAGGACCTGACGCTATATTTGGCACGCACGGGCACGGTCACAGGTTGTGGCAAGGGGACACGGGGCAAAAGCGTTGTTCTTGTTGTGTATGCGGGCTATATTAGGCCTACTATTGATTTCGCATTATGTGTCTTAAATTAATTTTAATTATTTACACAGCGCGGTCCACTCGGCAGCATCTGCAGCGACCGCGACCGCGACGCCGACTGCGACGTTGACTCACCTGCAAGCGAGCGGCACCATGGGCAGCGATTGTTTTATCGATGGCCGCAAATTCTGATTGCGTTTCTCTGGCCAAACATGATCGAATTTCAGCTTCAAACCGAAGCGCGGCACAGCCGTCAGCTCGTTCGGTTCGCCGGCTTGCTCTAGCTCTCTTTCCTGCTCCTGCTTCTTCTCCTGTTGCAGTTGCTCTGCATAGACGCCGCTGACGGAGTCTGCAGCGCCCGCAGCGTTGCCATTGGCTATTGTTGCTGTTGTTGCTTCCGCCGCTGCAGTTGGTGTTGCCATTTTGCGTGTGTTTCGACTAGCTTCGATTTGACTTATTTCGTTTGGTTTTGTTTGAGTGGGTGATTAATACAATTGCGTGCACTTCATATTATTTGGGTTTTTTTTTGTTCAACAACTAGACACGCGCGCGACGCACACAATAGCAACAAGCAAACACGACCGTTTGCGGCAAGAAATTAACTGCGAATGAGCGTACCACTGAGTGAGAGCGTGAGAGTGAGAGCGCGCAAAACAGACAAACTATCGTTTAGTGCAGCTGTTATCGATGTTTGGCTATTGACATCCATAAAAACAGCTGTTCTCGCGATAGTTGTTTTGGGTCCGAGTGACACTGCATTATCGTCCTAACGTCTATTTCAAAAAGCTACAGAGCAAATTTAATATGATAAATTACAAATATTTAATCAATCAATCAAAGCCACAAAATGGTGAATAGGCTTTTATCACATACATTAAATAACCTTAAAAGGGAAAATGTTAACGGTAAGCTAAAATTTTGTTAATTTTACAAAGGCCCAAGTGTGACCATAATCCAGTAAAGGCGCGCAATTTAAATTATCGAACCAAAACGTGAAAACAAAAAAAGATAGCATTTTCAACAAAGGTATTTTCATTTAAAAAAAAAAACATTTATATATTATATAAATACATTAAAAGTCGTTGCAAAGAATATTTATGAAACAGGTTAAACCTATTTTTATATTTTGAGTGTGATAGTGCGCGAAACTAAAAGTTGTAAGTGTGACCATTTGCTATAGGCGCTATTTCAAAACGAGAATATTTGAAAAGAAACGAAAGAAGACAAAATATATTTTTTTTTTTTTTGAGTGTTTTCAAAATATTTATTACACTTCATATAATCTGCAACACAAAACGCGTTCTATTTGAAGGATTTCTCGTATTTGGGGCACAAACACTTTTTGCGACGACCCCTTTGTTCATTGCCCATGGTCTGTTCCTTGACAGGAGTTTCAGGCTCTTCATCAGCATTGGCGTTTTCATAGTGCTCCGGGTTGGTCTTCTCATTGCATTTGGCGGCCATAAACTCAAAGAAATCAATGTTGCGCACATGACTGTGGTATTGATCCTTAAACTGAAAGTAATTGGGATACACTTTGTGCTTAAGCATAGCCACATATAGGCTAAGGCGCTGCTGTTCCAAAAATGCTCGACGCTTGTTCTCCATATGAGCATTACGCCAACTGCGATTGCTGATCTCCTTGTGCACGAGATCACGTAGATGCGGATGCAAATGAAAGATCAAGGCCCTTGAACAGATGGACAAATTTTCAGTATAAATTCTTAGCGTGTTTATGTTTTTAAATATATAATCTTACTCGCTGAATCGGTGCTTTAATTTTCTAAACTTGACTTTCTCGAATGGATAAATAAACATGTGTATGCGATCGGTGTAGGCCAACTGAGCAGGTATTTCCACAAATATTCTATTCAAGTTGTCTAGATAATAAGATATTCCGAGAATATATATGAAATTATCGTTTACTCACCTGGTGCTGAGTACAGTGGGAAATTGTATTATTTTTGGGACTTGCTTTTTAACTTCAAAGCGTGGAAACTTAAGCATGTCTTCCTTCTGCCAGGTTATATTGCTAGTCATGCATGCATCAACAGCTTTCAGCTCCTCCGGATCAATAAAATAGTTGCCCGCACAGAAATTATAATTACCCAGTGGGGGCACAGTTTTAAACAGCTCTAGACCTGGTTAGGCGGTATTACGACAAATGTATGCGGTTTTTTTTTTGTTTGTTTCTGACTTATTTACCCTTTTTGCGGCAATCGGAAGTTGTGGACTCCACAAAGTAGGCGGTGCGCCATTTGGGGCAGGCGCAATTGATAAATTTATAAAACACCTCGACCCAATCGGAAAAGACTGTGGACAGGCTCTTGCTCATGTTCACATTTAGCTGAATGTTGTCGCTGTGGATTGTAAAATGGGGAAAGTAGCTAGAATCTTAAATGATATCTGTCTATATACATCAATTTCTTAGTGGCGTGAGTCAGGGTCCAAAATATATGCAATTTAATTTAATTTATCTATTAAAAATTTAAAACAAATGAAGTGAACCAAGATTTGATCCCAAATCTTAGCATATATTTTGAACTACCTCACTTATAGGTCCAGCCTGTGATCTCTGTTTTCCAACTTCGAAAATTCAAATTAAACAAATCTGTGTTTGAACTGTCAACTTTCAAAAAATGGGTTAAGACCCACCCTAGACCACAAACTTACCGCACCACGAGGACGTTCTCATCGCAGCCAAACTTTCGCAACTGCGCATGAAGCTCGATGCGATCCTCCCGAACGGATAATTGAAGATTGGATGCTTCGATATCGACAATATAATGCAGCGTCGGAATAAGTGCTGGTGTCTCTGATGTTCTTTTATAAGTTAACCGGCTCCACTCGTCTGCATCCGCTTCAGATGAAAATTGATCTCTACTGGTTCGCTTTTCGTGGCTTTCGTCGCCATTTGACGATCCATTCTCTGCCATAATTTCATTCTTTGCCAATGGATAAATTCGAAATTGTAGATTATCAGCGGCAATGACCTTTGTCTCCAGCTTCAAGTCCGTCTGGTTGATGTGTGTAAAGTTGAATTGAGTGCCAGCATAGGACTTGTGCTGTATCAGAAAGCTGTCCGGCTCATAGGTTGTGAAGCTATAATCATAAATATACTGATCCTCAATCTCTATTTCCTGTATTAATTCTGGCTCCCTTATATTGAACTTCCCCAAGTCTTCGATTTCATCGGCAATAGATGCACCTGCTGGCACATTAATGAATATTATAGTCTGTGGATAAACATGTAGAGAGTTTAATTAACATTACTTTTAGGAAAATGGGATTAATGAAAGGAAATCGAATTTTGTTTTTAAATTAAACAGATAATTTGTACAGTATTATAGAACAATTGTAAACAATTTTCTATTGCTTCGACAATTTGCAATTCTCAACTAGTTAAAGCTTCGTCGTAGAGTCGAGGGCAGTCTGCTTATGATAGAACCGGAAGGTTCTTGAAATAGCTATACAGACAACCTACTCATAATTTGTATACATATGTATTCGTTTTTCTTTGTTGGTTTTTGTTTTAATCTAGACTTACCGATTGGTCTGATTCGCGATCAATTAGCTTCAAATGCGTTAAGTGCGAGCTGCTGGAACTGATTTGCTTATCAATATCATCCTCGATTATGCCCTTATCCCAGCCATCCACAACTGTGGAGGTGATCACGGTGCCATCGCTGTGATAGCATCGGAGACTATTATGTGTCCAGACCATGCGCAGACCATCGTCCCGCATGGCATAGCTCTCGTTGGCAAAATAATCATGCCATTCGGTGACACGGATCGGTTTGGCGCAATGTATCTTACCCTGCTCCACATGCACCACGCTGCCCAGCGAGGTGATTAGCTTCAGGTGCTTATAGCTCAGATTGAAGAGCTGCATTATGAACTCCAAGTATTTCAGTTCCGGATCGATGCTGGCAAAGAGCGCCGCCGATTGTTTCATTTGTGATTGACGTGCCTCCGCCTTGGCAGCGCGTGCGGCCAAAGTTTGCGACGATGTTGAACTGGAGTCGCGCGTCAGACTGGTTGCTTTCCTGCCCAATTTGTCGGCCCCGCCTGTGGTCCGACTGGTCTGGGAAATGGAATTGCGTTGGCGTCTCTTTTTTTTTAAATGACGCTTCGGCAGCGGCTTATAGCTGCTGTACGTCGATTGTGTGGAGCAGGCATTTATGAAACTCGTATTATCCTCCGCTTCGCCCTCCTCCTCCCCCTTGACGTCCACATAGCTATACAAGCGATAAACCTCGCCATTATAGCGCATAATCACCACCGTATCGGTATTGTTATAGAAGACTATGACACAGCCGTAGGGTGTGCTGACACGTCGACTCTCGTGGAGATCGCTCTGCTGACCCGACCACAGATGCTCCGCATGGGTATCATGACAATAGAGGCTCACTCCATTGGGATAGTTGAGCACCGCCTTGGCGCACTCCTCGTCCTTCGGTCTCACCCGCAGGCTAATGCCATTCGGTGTCCGCAATCGTATATTTGGCGCTACGACACCCATTTGGCCCGGTTCATTGGTCAGATGCAGTGTCTGCTTGTCAATCTCAATGGACAGGCACTTGTTCATCTGGCGAAAGTTCCACTTCTCCTCATAGAGTGTTATCAGACCCTCCTCAAAGTAATATTTCGAGGTTTTCGATTTGATGGTTTGACGCCCATCGTCCAGATTGTAGCCCCTGAGCATGGGATGATCGGGTCCCAGTCCAATAAACGTTGGCTTCTCCTGATCGCTGCTATTTTTGGAGCCATCTTTTAAATGGACGGGGGTGCGCGAATTGAGACTACGCATCGATTTATTTGTCACCCGAAAGCTCTCCTTGCTGCGCAGCCTTGACGGGCGCGGTGACATCTTCTCCCTTTTCTCCTGCTCCCGCTGCTGTTCCGTTATCCTCTTGGCCTTCAAGGATTTGGGTCGTACGAAGACGCTGGGCGTTACGCTATAAGGCCTATTGCTGGGGCAATTGTACGGTTTCGACCCATCCTCATCCGAGAGCAAAGTAAGCGTGCTGAAATATTCCGACAACGGGTCCTGCTGCTGCTTCACCTCGATGGCCGTCTCAAACATCTGGGGCGTGACCAAGTCGTGCAGGAACTGCTGCATCTCATAGAGCGTAAAATCGCGAAAACAAAGCCGCGTCGGTATAGTTATCTCTTCCTGTTTCTCGATAACCTCATTGAGGGCACGCTTGAATGTATAGAGCTTAACATTCGGATGAATTTCCTCAACTTTATAATTGTCATACTCCGTGATCAGTTGGATAATGCGCTGAGTGACCGAATCATCGGTTAGATACAATTTGGCATATTTGGGCAAATGCTGCGGCTCCAAATCCGCACTGTAGGGCGTATAATGAATTTTCTCTATAATGTAGCCCGTGCTGAAATAGCGACGCAGCACATTGTACTCCAAGCATGCATGATAGATATTCCGCATTAGTTCCTGATCCATATAACTCACAACGCTGCAGAGCAGCGTATTGGCCTGCTCCACAAACAAACGTTCGATCTTCATCAGCTTGATGATGCTCTTGAAGGCATTCGCATAGACTTTTATTTTGTCCAGCACTCTGGTTTGTATAGCCGATGTCGGATTGGCCAGCAACAGGACCTCCATCTCAGTCATCAGATCACGCGGCTCACCGAATGTGCACATCAGCGATTCCACATATAGATAGATGTTGGCATCGTCATCATGCACCGCCGGCATCTCATCCTTTAGATAGTGTCCCTGAATGCTCAGCGAATCGACCATCTGAAAGCTGTCCTGCAGGCTGGTGTCCGCACTCATTTTCACATTGATCTCACGATATGGCTTCACATAGTACTCCTCGTATTGTTCCCGCAACATTTGCATATCGTACATATAATAGCTTAGCTGATCAAATATGTTGCTGGCATATTTAACCGACTGGCACTTGGACATCTGTGGCAGCTGTTGTTGGAATATGCCCACCGGCTTGGTAAGCGTTCGCTTGCGCAGCGCATGAATGTCCCTTTGGATTTTCTCGATAGTCTCGAGCAGTTGCTTCTCACGACGTGGACGTGGCACCAGCAAATCATAGGCGCATTCTTCGGGCAGAAAATGCACCACGCCACGCAGTGGCTGACCGTGTCTGGAGGGGAAAGAAAAATCTATATATTTATAAAAGATTTGCTTTTGTGAGCGTCGGACTAACAAGCGAGAAGTCGCTGGTTCGCTGGTGTTATCAGAAAATGCAACTTTAGCAAATGTTTGATTTCGATTCAATTGGGGTCAAACAAAACATTGAACATGTTTAATAAACCCGATTTAAAATTTTAACGAGAAATAAGGGCTATCTTCGGCACGCCGAAGATTTAATACCCTTGCAGACCCAACCTTTTCATAATGCTCATGGTGCTTTGCCCGTTTCTAAGAAGCACAGGGAAAATAGTTAATGCCGAGTATGGTTAAGATATCTTGAAAAACAAAAAAGTTTTCCATACAACAACTAATTTTCGACCGATCGTTCCTATGGCAGCTATATGATATAGTAGCCCGATGTGAATAAGATTTTACATAAGTGGAGGGAGCATAGTAAAACTAATAAATGCCGAGTTTGGTCAAGATATCTTGAAAAACAAAAAAAATTCCATACAACAGCATAATTTTCGACCGATCGTTCCCATGGCAGCTATATGATATAGTGGTCCGATGTTGATAGGATTTTGCATATATATGAAGAGCACAGAAAAACTAATTAATGCCGAGTTTGGTCAAGATATCTTTAAAAACAAAACAATTTTCCATACAACAACTCAATTTTTGACCGATCGTTCCTATGGCAGCTATATGATATAGTGGTCCGATGTTGATAGGATTTTGCATATATATGACGAGCGTAGTAAAACTAATAAATGCCGAGTTTGGTCATGATATCTTTAAAAACAAAAAAGTTTTCCTTACAACAACTAATTTTCGACCGATCGTTCCTATGGCAGCTATATGATATTGTGGTCCGATCCAGCTGGTTTTGACATATGTACTGCGTGCAATAGAAAGAGAGACTTCTGAAAAGTTTCATAAAGATAGCTTTAAAACCGAAAGACTAGTTCACATAGAAACAGACAGACGGACATGGCTATATCGACTCGGCTTTTGATACTGATCATGGATATATATACTTTATGGGGAGATATCTCCTTCTATGCGTTACACATTTCACGACAAAATTTTAATACCCTCTGCAAGGGTATAATAAGTTGTTTTAATCAAAGGTAATTGAACTTACCCGAGCAGGTCCATATAGAAATCATTGTTCATTCGACCCATGATCAGAATTAGTATTGTCGTATTCAAGGGCGCATCTTTAATATACTGCAGTTAAATTTTTGTGAGAATTCGTTTACCAACGAGAATAAACTAAATGTGGGGTTTACCAAGCGCTTGGATAATGGGTAGCCCTTGCCCACTCTGTGATGCTCCTTGGCATTGACGCCAAAGCACGAGATCTTGCCCAAGGATTTGGTGTCGGTAGTCTCCTTAGATTTGGTAACGGGACGACGTTTGGATTCCATGCCAGATGACTTATCCTTTTTCGAATCTAACGAACGCACCTTGAGCTGGGCAGGCACATGCTTCTGATAGTACTTGAGCATATTAAAGCTGAGCTCCGCTTCAATCTGACGGTTCACAAGGTCATATTCGGTCAAACAATCGTGTATGCGCAGCAAGGTCAAATCCAAAGGTTTCGTGGGCAGAACATCTGATATCAAATAATAACTCCAAAAAGTGGCATAGAGTTGGGTAAAAAATCCTTTGCTCACCTTTTTTAAACTTGTCTGAAAGACGACTAGGCAGCAGGTTGGTTAGGTGAGCGTCATCCAACTCAGTATCCAGATCGATCACAAATAGGAATCGTCGCAGGCCAAGCTTTATCTGCTTTATGAACTCTTCACGCACTGCCTTCAGCCCATTGTCGTAGAAATTGACGCAGTAAATGTCGTAGGCGACCGAAGTTGAACCGCTGTGGGTTTTCCGGGTGCTACGACGACTGCTAAAATCGGTTCTCCTAGTGCTTAATGTACTCATATTGGTTATTTTTGAATGTCTCACGTGTTGTAAATATAAACCGAAAATGTGCGTTTGATTCTGACGGAACACTCTCAGCTCGGCAGGAAAGGCAAATTTAATTGAAATTAAATGTATGGATCCGACTCAATTATTTTAAATATAATTATCCTTTTGTGCCGTAGATGAAATGTTCCTTAAATATTTTTTTTCGATCATCGATCTATAAAATATTTCGATATGGATAAATTTTCCCCCCGAATCCGATCCTGTTGAATACAAAAGATAGATCTTCACCAAGATACATAACAACATTTTTGTCTGTCAGTTGATAATCTTAAAAATTATATATAACTAGCGGGTATAGCCCGGCCTTGCCCGTGGCACGTGTAAAGTAAATGTTCTCAAAAAGCATTGAAAATAATTTTGAAACTGATCGGATGGTCAACAAAGAACTTTCATACAAACGATTTCCGCCAATTTACCACTGTTGCGGGTGGAATTTCCCAAATCGCTGAAACACGTATACATTAAGTTTTTTTTTATAGAGATTTGAAAATAAGTTTGAAGCAAATCGGTAAAAAACTAAAACTTCACCAAAAAAATCTTTGAATCGCATTTCTACCGAAGAAGTTTGAATTCTGCGAAAAGTGAAAAACACATCTCAAATGAATTTTCATATCGAAAAATTCGTTGGAAATGAATTTGAGGGCGAAATTCGAATTTCGAAATTTTTGACACCCATTTCCACCAAGGAGGGATGGATTTTCCAAGTGCGAAACACCCCTCAAATGAATTTGAAAAAAAAATCTTTGAAAATGAGTATAAGGCTGGTAAACGGATGGTAAACAATAAAGTTGCATACAAACGATTTTTCCACACTTGCGGGTGGAATTTGACGAAACCCCGTCTTAACGTGCTTCCTAGCTCTTACGGTTTGGCCTGTGCGTTGATCATCAATCAGTCAGTCAGTCAATCAGTCAGTCAGTCAGGACAAACAGTTTTATATATAGAGATTTATGGCATTGGGTTCTAAAGTGTGTTCTACACATTTCGTGACAAACTTAAATTACAGCTGATAAAATAGGAAACTGTACACAATTTATGCATACATTAATATAAGTATTTTATTTAAATGATTTATTTGAACATTAAATCGTAAAGTTAAATTAAATATATAAAATTCCTAATTAAATGGCTGTTATGTACAAATGAGTATAATTATATAATTAAATACAGCTAATTGAAATACTTACTTTATAAATAGTTATATGCATAAGTACTGTACAAATGGGAGATTCATAAACAAGTACATAGTTTGTGTGTTAAAATTAAATTTGAAATAAAATCGATTTGCAAACTTAAAGCCTCTTTAAAATAAAACATAATAAATTAAAAGATAAAATAAATTAAAAATTTGCGGGGCCTAGTTAATAATATAATTAAAATGCAGTCACTGGCAATGAAAACTTGTGCGTGTACAAGCCGAAACGTATAGCTATGTAAATATTACTTATATGGCAGTGGATATGCAACTATAACTGGACGTTGTCTAAGTCTATGGCTTAAATAAAACTCATAATTGATCACAATACATTTGGAAAAAGTTTTGGTGTGGCATCATCAAACAGGAACCAGAGAAAACATCCCGGCAATCAGTAGCTACTCATCGCTGGACACAAGACATTCGCTGAGCAGCACATTGTGCAGATCATCCATATCGATCCAATCGCGTCTCTCATTGCGTATAGAAACATTGCGTATGCAGCCCTTGAAATTATCGCGCGCCAGCAAACAGCCGCTGGGTGCAACATCTAGCGGTGGGATTGAGAAATAGACAAAACATGAGCATAGGGAAATCAAGGATTTGGATTAATTGAAAACTACCTGGCAGACCGCCAATGTAGAGGGGCGAACGTGTTTGCACTTTGCCCACATTGCGTTGATTTGACATGCTGATCGTGGCAGGCAGCTGATCAATCCTAAGCGCAATTTGCTCGCCATCATAGAGCGCGGATATATTATGCCATTTGTTGTCGCAGAGCGCATATTTGCCCGGCAGCGTGGCCTCCACACGGAATGGCACACCATCGCCCAGGTCACAAGAGAAAACGATCTGTAATCGAGTAATTGATATCGATTTAATTAAATTGAATGAGATAACTTTTCAGACTCACATTGCCATTGCTGAGCTCCAGTGAAAGTGCGGGAAAACCGCTTGGCTCGGAAACGCTCAGCAATATGCCGGAGAGCTCAGAGGTCCGAAATTCCATTTCCAGTTCCAGATATTTGGCCACATGAAAGTTTTTTTCTATAAGAAAAAATATGGATAAAATAAAGAAAGATGCCAAAGATTGAACCGGAAAATGTTTGAATATATCGACTCGACTTCCTAATGTTGTGTACAAACACATTTTCTATGGATTCGGAGATGTTCATGTCGACTGATATATGATATATGGACTCACTGTATATGGCATAGGCATCGCCTGGGAAGTAGCTGCCGCGCTCGACGGTTGGAAAACATTGACCCACATTTGCGTGCTTGCCCGGACGTGCCAGATCCTGTGTGCTATTGTTAATGTTCACGCGACGCAGACAGCCCTTGAAGGCCTCCAGTCGCATGTACAGCTCCGAGGGCACCTTGACTGGAGCCTGTGGCAGGCCACCGACCAGCAGCAGTTGTGAGGCGCCTATTTTCTTGGGCACCTTCATTTGTGCCGACGTCTTTTGATCCGTACGTCCAATCTCTACGCTCAGGGTGACCTTGCGCTCATGGCAACTGATAGTCACACGATGCCATTCACCATCGTTTAGTTTGGCTGTCAACAGCAGTTCCTCGCGCCGTCGTCCGCGCACAATTAACACCAGTTGGCCATCCTTCAGGAGCAGGGCCACATAGTGCTTTGGCTTCTCCTTGCTGCCCGGCGACAAATAGAGCATGCCATTGGGATAGAAGGAGCGAAAATCAAAGCTCAGCTGAAAGTTGCGCTGCCAGAAGTGACGCTCCGGCAGCTTAAGCTGCGCATAGCTATAAAGCTCGTCGCCAAACTTGAAGGCATTCGGTTCGTAGGAGTAGCTGCCAATCTGTAAGAAATGAATTCGATTAATTCTAGCCCTAGATTTATTTAAATGGGAACTTAACTCACCGCGACGACTTTGTGTTAGTTCTGAGCTTTTGTGAGCGAGCTTTCGCAGCGTGCGCTTTTTATTTTTTGGTTTTTTTAGTGAGGTTAAAAAATAAAAACGTTGGCATGATTTTCTTTTGGGTTTTTTTTTTGTTAAAAAAATGTTTTTTTTTTTATTTAATACGCAAAATGTGATAACAAGTTGAAGAAAGCAAAAAGTTATTCGTATGATACATTGATGAAAGCAAAAACGTACACAAAGCGTTGATGAGTGAATAATGTTTGTGAATATATATATATATTGATATGCAGATAGGCCTAGATGATATTGTTGCTTATAGACTATATTTGAGCTTTAAAGCTTAAAATATACAAAAGATGTGATATGAAAATATGCAATATTTACATAAGTATGTTGTTGTCAAATGTAATTAACATCCAGATGCGACCCAGAGCTTTTTAAAACTTAAAATTATTTGTAGTTCTTATTTTGAATTAAGCTGGATTACAAGAGCTTTTTAAGATATCTTTAATCAGACTTGAAGCTTTTGCATACTATCAACCGCATATAAATTTATTACCTTTAATCCTCAACAAAAGCTTTTGAATTCTGTAAATCAGCTTACAAAAGCTTAAAAAGCTCCAAAACAGACTACGATTTTTATTTAAACTAATTATTAATTTAAATAATTTGGCTCACGACAGTTTCTCATATGTCTAAATATAAGAGTTTTAATGAATTTTCGAAAGAAATTAAATCTTGTAAACCAGCTTCCAAATAATTCTTAAATATAAATGAGCTAGCTTACAAGAGCTTTTGTAAGGAGGCTCACAGCTTTTAGCTCTGTAAACTAGCTTATATGCAGCTTACGCGCCGTCAAAGCTTGAAAGCTCGAACGTATGGCAGCTTTTGGTTAAATCTGAGGTTATATTTGATGATTTGTATGATTAATCCACATGTAGACCACATTGAGTAGCTATGTTTAGTAAGCTTTTATATTTTTAGTCGAAATTAGTATACAAAAGAGCTTTTTCTTGCAGCGCAGCGCTTGAAACTTTTTGCGTAGCAGCTTTTGACATAATTGCTTAGCAACTAAAATCCTATAAAAACAAAGAGAAACATTTAAGTTGATCAGAGTGTTGAGAGTTAGGTAACCACATAATCTATTTACATGCACATCTCCAGCGAAACCGTCGCACCCGAAATCTTTTAATACAATAACCCAGACCATGTTTTACACAAAATGATGTCAACAACTCACCCGCTTGCAGCCTTCCGGCGAGGCGGTAAAACTCTTGCCAATCATCGGCTCCGTCTTGAGCAGCACATCGTAGAGGGCGCCCTTGGGGCTGCCCATGACCGGACCATTGCGTCCAATCTGCACATTGGCAAAGGTCAAAGCATCATTAAAATTAATCGTACGATTATTGAACACCACATCCCGCACAGCGCCCTCGAGCTTCACAAATGTGGGCGCCAAGGGAGTGTAAATTTCATGGGGTGGTGCGCCGCCTATATACAGCCCCCCAGCATCCTGTGGCAGGCTGACAAGTGAGGGTGTGCCCGTCAGGCTGCGCACCTCCTGCAGTTCATCGTCCACCATCAGCTCCAGGCGGCGCCCAGTCTTAATAAGATTGATGACATGCAGTTCGCCATCGTTCAGCTGACTTGCATTGGAGAACATTTTGATGAAGCTGCGTCCCGAATTAATCCACACCTGCAGCTGACCATCGACCAGACTCATCGAATAGTTGCCCTTAATATCTTTGTCATCGTAGTCGGCCAGCACTTCTGGCGGATAGGCAGCCAACAGCAGCAAACAATCGGCTTGGAGTGTGCGGAAGACAAGGCCAGTATTGGCGCGTTTCCGCAGCGACTGCGATGGCAGCTCCAGATAACCATTGCCGGAAAAGCCAGCTCTGTGAATCAGCACAACAATTAGGATTTTTTTTTATAATTAAATAATATGTAAGTTTACTTTGTAATCATGTCCTTGCAGGAGGACTCCACGCCAAAGTATGTGGAACTCTCGAGCGGATCGTAAGTCTCGCCATTCACCTGCACATCCATCATGCAGCCAAGGAAAGGATTGTCGGCACCAGGCGCTTTGGTTGTGCCAGATGTGAAGCCTGTTAAAAGTTATTAATCAATTATTAGAAAGTATTTATTTTTATTTTAGCCTTGAAGAATAAACTTTTCGACTCGTTAAAGCTAATGCTGTGTGAGAATTACAATTGATACGTGCTGTAAAAATCTGCGAGAGTTTTTATGATACTTTGTACTCATTACATAAAATGATATTGAGAAGTTTCAGAAAGTGCAGGAGATATCTACGACCCTATTAAGAATATTTATTTTTAATAAGCACGACGTGCCTTGCTTAGATTTCTGTCTACTTGTCCAAATGAACTTTTATAATAGACCTTACTAGACCTCTCTATTTTATTTACTATGCGTTTTCTTTACAGGTTTTCTCAGCTTCTTAAAATTCCGGAATGCTCACCTGGTGGCACGCCTCCCAGATAATACACCGCCTTGGACAGATCCGGCAGCATGTGACTCTTCACAGGCAATGTGGGGGCACCGGAGATGGCACGATCGTTGTTTACGCGCAGCATACCATTCTCCGTGCTGCGTCGTGTCGAGAACTCTCTGGCCGCCTCGATTTTGATCCACTGCCCTGTGTTGTACTTTTTGGTTGTATTAATCTCCAGCTTGGACTCGTCGCCATAGTCAATGCGGAACATGATGCGACCGCGACTCAATGTGACCGATACGGAGCGGTTCTAGAGAAACGCAAATCATAGGTTAAAAGTTTGAGGTGTTAAGGTAAAGGGATGCAAGCTCACGTTCTTGTCATCAACCGCCAGAAAGAGCAAGGCATTCTCGTCCAGTGTGCGGAAGGTCATCTGCAACGCAAATAGATTCTTGCGATAGGGACGCGGACGCGTCTTCTTAAGCTGCGCATAGCCCAGGCCATTGAAATGACGCGCCACGGAGGAGGAGGATGATTCCCGGGCGCCAATCATGGCACCACCGCAGCGACCCTCGCTGCCTATAAAATTCCACAAACCCAACGGCTTATTGTCCACCTCTACCTGATGCACGACCACATTTAGACCTGGAGTTTGCTCCTTGGCCGCATGGCCGCCCAGCAAAATGCGCTCGTCGTGCGTTTGATAGAAACGCGTGTGCTCGGCATCCGTGGAGCCCGTGACTGGCGAACCCGGCATTAAGGCGCCAAAGTTATTCATGCGGCGCACCAGCAGGCTGCCCAAATTGAGCGTGCGATTCGCCTCCACCTGATACCAGGCATCATCGTACTTGGGATCGCGGGTCTGCACCTCAAGCGGATGTGTTATGGTCGCTGTGCTGCCGCCCAAATACCAAACCAGACGCACCCGCCGCTTGTACAGCTCCAGCGTGATGTGTCGGCCCTCGCTGCCCTGGACATGCAGCAAAGGCGAGTTGCCCATGTGATTGGACAGGGCAAAGCTCAAGCGCAGGGAATTGGATGTGCTCAGGCCATAAGAAACGGGCAAATAGGTGCGACTGCATTTGGGACCCAGCGATTCCAGCGAGACGTCAATCTGCAAAGAGAGAGAGAAATGCTTGAATCGACCTCAACTCCAGCTATTCATTGCCACTTACCGCTTCCGCTGCATGCCTGGCCTTGGCTATTTGATCTCTTAGCTGCTGAAGCTGCTGGGCCATGCTATTGTTCCAGATCTCAAACACCTGCTGTTCCTTGGCGGCCTGCTGCTCCACATAGTTGAGCGAAACGTTGGCGAAACGCAAATTTGTCTTGGTTAGCGAAATGTTCTCCTCGGCCATGCCCAGCTTGATCTCCCAGTCTGGCTCCAGCATGGCAAATGATTTGCGCATATGCTGTATGGATTGCTGCATCTCGCGTGCCTTGCGCAGCTCCGCATGCATCTCCTCGCTTGTCCTTTGCGCCAGCTCCATGCTTTCCTGGGCATGACGACGCGCCGAGCTGTTCGTCAGCAATTGCAGCTGGCTGGTGATGTTATTGCTGCGTTGTCCCGTCTCAAAGATGGTGCGTTTGATGCCCTCCACTTGTTGCTCCTGTTGCTGCAGCTTACCCTTGAGCACAGTGGATTTTTGCATTTGCTGCAGTGCCTCGCGTTGCAACTGCTTGGAGCGTTGCAGCGAGTGCTTGGCACGCTCAATCATTGAGCTGCCATCGCTGGGATAAAGCGTGCGTTGTGCCTCATGGACGCGTTCATTGGACAGCAGTGATGCCTGGCGTGCACCCGCAATGGCTGTGGAAATATTGCTGTGTGCCGAGCTGCAAGGAAGAGAGGGTGAGTCTAAGCCAGAGCTAGCGCTAGTATCCTCACTCACCTGGCCAGCATGGCAATGCGTGCCGCATTTCTTGTGGGCTGAAATTGCCTGGCATACTCATTGGAGCGCTCGAGCAGGCGTGCCGCATGCTTCTCCGCCTTGGGAAGCCAGTGTTTGCGCACCTCCCGCTGCAGTTCTGCCTGATCCACGAGCGTTTCGTTCAGCAGCGCAGTCACGGCGGACAGCTGCTTCCGCTGCTCATTTAGCTGCATTTGCTGCTCCCTGGCTGTTTGCAGCATTTGCTCGCCACGCGCCGTGTGACTCTGATTAAGCTGCCGTTCGATGCGCCCGCCCAGTTCCTCCAGTTCCTGATACTGTTCGGCAACATGAGCGCTTAGATTGCGCACATGTTCGAGCACATCGTCCGCCTCGCTCTCCACATCCTGGGTGCGATCGATGTGCAGCCGCATGTCCGCCACGCGATAATTGGTTTGGTTAAGATCACGCCAGAGCATCTCGAGACGTGCACGCTGATCGTATGCCGCATCAGAGGAATTGCCCGTGACATAGAACTGTTGCCAGGCGCAGTCGCTGGTGCTGCGTATGTCCTGCACCAGCTGATGATGCTGTTGTATAGCCTGCAGATAGAAGCGCGCCTGCTGCAGCGCCGTCGGCAGACTCAGATGCTGTGCACCCAGGCCATAGTTTCGTAAATCGTACAGCGTTTGCATCAACCCAGCGTGTAGAGTGCGCACATCCTGTTGCAGTGCAAGAGCCGCGTCCTGCATGGACTGCAGCGCCAGCTGGCGTTTGCCAATGGTGGCCAGCGCCTTGCGCGACTGAAATTTGCCATTCTCTGCATGTGCGTCCAGTTTGAGAAGAGCTGCCGTATCGTACCCGAGGAGCATCTGCCTGGCCTGGCTATAATCCTGCTGATGGCCGCGCCATTTATCATAGGCGCGCTCGTATTCGCTAAGCTTTAGATAGGGAGCCGGTATGCCCGTCAGATCCATGTTATGCAGGCCACGGCGCAGCTTATGCCCCACCAGCTCCACATAGTCCAGCAGCAGCAGCGTGCAATTGTCGCAGACTAAATGGGAGTAGGAGACAATTGTTTATCTAGCATATATGGGGTATACATTAGTCGACTTACGCGTGCAACCGCTTTCGTGCAAATGCTGCCGCTGCGCCACGCACTTATTGCACTTCAGACCCGTGACGCCTTCGCGGCAATAGCACTGACCCGTCTCCGCATCACAGCCCTCGGCGCGTATGCCATCAGCATGGCAATTGCATGCCTGGCAGCTGCTATTGGGATATTGCATCGGATTGCCAAAGAAACCAAGGCGACAGCGTTCGCATAGGCGTCCCGTGTAGCCGGGCTTGCAGACGCAGCTCACCTCGCCCTCCCACACATTGCAGCCGCGCGCAAAGTTGCGATTGGTCTCCGGACAAGGGCAGGCCTGGCAGCCGTGCCGTGAATTGGGATCGCCGTAGTAGCCCTCGGCGCATTGCTGGCAGTGTGCGCCGCCGCTGTTCTCGCGACAATTCTACAAAAAACAAAAACATTTTCAGTCAAACCAAATAGCTGTAAATTCCAATTGCAGTGTTGGGCAGTCAACAAATTGTGCTGCAGTTCAATTGCTATTATTGCTAAGGACTGGTATGCTGCTTGCTGTTAATGTGGTTAAAAACAAGCGCAAGATACGTTAAGAAGCATTTATATTCCACTTAGATATCTTCAAATTGACTAAAAGCGCATCAAATTTAAATCAAAATATAATCAGTTGCTGATTGGACAATTTGGCTGCATACCAAACCTAATCAGAATTCAGAAGCCTGCCTATACGAACCTGTTCAACACTAGCAAATAGCCTATTGGAAAATGGCGGCAGTAAAGTGAAAAATAGGCGCCAAAAGTGAAGTGCGCGTCTATCGTTTATATTTGCATGTGTATATTTTTATAAATTAAAGTAGATTATTTACCAAACAAACGCCGGTTTCGCGATCGCAATCATTGCTGCGTCCATTGCAGTGACACGGCGCTGCTCGTCCAATTAGATCCTCAATAAAAACACTTTCCACGTCGCTTGTGTTGCGCCAGCGATAAAACGAGCGTCCCGGGTCCTGGCAGGACAGCCCATCGAAACGTTTGGGGCACTTGCAGCGCTCCACGCCCTTGGCTATGAGGTTAGTGGAGCCCTGTACATATATGGCAGCATCCATGTGCACATTATGTAGGCTACAAAAAGTTGTAAGCTCATAAGATCAGATTCTTGGAAAACAACAAAAAAAAAAAACGTACACAACTTGCTGAAAATCGGCAAACGCGAAAGCGCGCAGAAATATGTGACGCACATTCTGCAGCGCCGCCATCAAGGTGCCCCGATTCACCGCCTGGCTATTGTGATGATATTTCCAATAGGATTCATGCAGCGGCACACGATGCGTCACATTCAGCGAATACTCATATTCCTCGTACTCGTAAAAGTCCAACACCAGCTTGGCGTGCGCATGCAGCTGCACCAGCGGATACTGCGCCAGCACCTTCCGCTCCAGCGGCGTGTGAGCGCCCTCGGTTAGCAGCGAAAAGTATAGATAGCCGCCGTAGCTGGTGGTGCGATCGCCATAGAACTGGGGCGGCAGCTGGAAGTAGAGCGGCTGATAGAACTGGGCATAGGCGCCGATCGATACGTTGCCCGTGGAGCGCGGCACCAGGCTGAGATCGTTCATGCGCTGGATTTCGGCATCCTCGCGATAGGAGACGCTGCCCGCCATCTGCACCACCACAATGTACTCGTAGTCACCGCTGGTGACATGCTGCGGCCGCAGCTGTTGCACGCTGAGATTGCGCGACTCCGGCATGCGTATGTGGCCCCAGGAGAGTTCGCTCTGCTCACACTCGGCGGCGCGTCCAAAGCAAAAGCAGCGGGTGCAGCCCTCGGGATTAAGGGCGGACAAACCGAATGTGCTCTGCATGCACGTATCGCACTTGAGACCCACCACGAGCGATTTGCACGGGCACTGGCCATTCGAGTCGCAGGCTATGAGGCCATCGGCGCGCGTAAAGGAGCCCGCCACATCGCAGCCGCAGCGTCGGCACTCGGGATAGCCAAAGTAGCCAATGGCGCAGCTGTTGCAGTTGCGGCCCGCGTAGCCCTCACGGCACTGGCACTGACCTCCGACTGCGGCGCACTGCTGGCCAATGGAGCCAATGTGATCGCATTCGCACTCACGACAGCCCAGACGCGCCTGCCAGCCCCAGGTGCCGGGCACGCACTGAGCGCAGCCCAAGCCGCGCGTGAATTTCGGGCAAATGCAGCGACCGTTGAGCGGATCACAGACTTGACCCTCTGCCGCGCATGCGGCACAGCGCTGGCAGCCCTCTGTGCTGAAGCCAAAGAAGCCCTCGGTGCACTCGTTGCAATGCCGCCCGCCGACGCCAATTTTGCAGTCACATTGACCCGTCCACGGATTGCACTCGTGACTGCGTGCGCCGTGCGGATCGCATTGGCAGTCGTGACAGCCCACGCCCTGCGTCAGATTCCAGTGACCCGCCTTGCACTTGTCGCACCGACGACCCGCCACATTCAGCAGGCAGGAGCATTGGCCCGAACGTTTGTCGCAAGCCGTAGACAGGGAGCCAACCGGACTGCATTGGCAATCTGCAAAAAGTATATGGAAGGAAATTTTATTTAATTTGGGTAAGTGCATAATGAATTTGGTAGAGAATTAAGTATATATTGGGGAAATTTATTGGGGATTTAACTATTTACACTTTTCAATTATTTGATTATTATTTAATTGCCAGCCATATGAACTGGGCTTTCAACGTGGCATTAAATAATCAATTATCAAAAACGAAATTAACTTTTTAAAAGCACAAATTTGCTCTGGAAACGACAAGAATAATCTTATAAATCATAAATAATTACAAGTCTATGATAATATCCGTTTCGGTAAGTTAAAGTCGCAAATTAGTACCAACTTGTAAAATCTCAAATGCCCGAAAATTTCATACATGATGTTAAACGAGCTTAAGTTTATTTAATTTCAAAGCTGTAAATTTGGAATGATTTGATTTCTGGCAACAGATAAAAGACGGCGGCACGTCTCACAATAGAAAACACAGCACTTTTAACACGCGCCGCCCAATCAGCATAAATCTAAACGATTTAAACGATTCATGTCGTCAACATTAGCAGCTATAAAAGCAGCCATTAATATACAAAAAACTACCAAAACACTTGCAAAATAATTTGCCAGCTCTTCAGTTGATGTGCCGCAAAAAACGCTTTCAATTTGCAACTTTGATAAATGTGCATAAATTTTGCACGCATAAAAATATACAAAAAAAATACAGAAACTGTCAACGGAAAAATTCGAAAATGCCGCCAACGCTGTGCAAAAAAAATAAAAGAAGAAAAACCCAATGAAAAAAATGTATAAATATTAATAATATTTTTTTGATTGGGGGCGCGCCAGAAATTTGGCACATGGTTTTCAGCATGTGAATGTGACATTTACAAAATGTTTTTCTCATATTTCGAGAGTGGCTGCTGCTGCGGCTGCTGCAGCTTTAAACCAATCTATTTTGTCGCGTTTGTAATTTATGTTTCCTGGCCAAAACATTTAACATTTACCAGAAAATTTGTGCTTATTTCGAGGGGAAAAACTAGCCGCTTGTCTCATTATTCAATGACAAACTGTAAAAATGCAGAAAAATCGAAAAAACCAAAAAAAAAAAACAAAATGTTTTGCTGCATTTAAATGCAAATTAATGTGCCATTCATTAGCGCTGCGGCAATCCATCATTTGGCGCAGTTTGACAAGCACTGCGAAAGGTCAAAGCGCTTCGAAATTTTGTTAGCCCAAGCTATAACAAATGTGTATTATCAATGGCTTTCAAAATTCTCAAAACGAAACTCGTTGTTTAATACCAAAGTTGATGCTGGTTAATGCGCTCGCATTACGTGGCATAAACAAATTTGCATATGATTTTTTATGGCACGGACAGCGTGTGGCATGCCACTCGTCTTGAGACCAACTGCAACGCCAAGAGCCAACACTCGTGACTCCAATCCTCAAAATGCCAGACGCTTTAGAAAAAAAAAAACGCTCGAGACTGTAAACTACAAATAGTCGAGCAAAAATAATGCTGTCCATAATTCAGATGTCGAGACGTCTTAACGATGTCTGCCAGTTGCCTCTATGGATATGGTCACATAAACTCTATCATTTTCGCGATTTTCACGATTTTCGCGTGCCTCCGTAATGGAGACATACGGATTAAGTGTGTCTTATAAATGTGCCGCAACATGACAGCAGTAAATACATGAATGGGAAAATACTCAAATTTAGATGGTCAAGCAAAATCGTTCGGAAAATCCATAATATATATGACAGTTTATGGCGAGCATCCATTTTTGTATTGTGTGCGGTTTTAGCTAGCTCAGTTGAGCAAATAAAATTAATCGAACTTTCATCTGAGGTTGTTTTTTTTCGAAAATCCAGTAGTATCCCATAAATTCAAGCAAAATTTCTTGTAAATTCCAATTTGTTAAAATCACTTTTTCGAGCAATTACTCTAATAACAAAGACGGGCATATAATATGATCTAATCGCAGCTTTATTATCTTAACTGTTGAGAAATATATTTTAAACACGTTACCCTCTTATAGTCTTAAATTGTTTATAAAACTTTAAGAACTTTTTTATATCCTGATATTCTCATCTCCGAAATGAACCCGCCTTTTGCTAGCGAATTTAATTAAGTCTGTTGTTGTAGTTTATGTAGCCACTTCAACGGCTGGTGTGACTTTGGGAGCGCCGCAAACTCGACATTGGCAACCGTTTATTATGGCAAACAAAATGCCATAATTAGCAGATACCCTGTAATCAAATGTTAGCCTGCGAAACAGCGAAATAAGGCGACTCTTTTAAAGTAGAGAAAGTTAACATAATTTATTATTGATCAGAAGTTATATCCGACTTAACATATACAGACTCAAAAATCAATTGAGGGCTCGTAATATTTGTTTAAATTATAAATAGAATATATACTTGACAGTGAAAAATGTTCTTTTAGATTACTTAAGGTTGTTGCTCGACTGATTGAATTCAGTTCAAGGTTACCAAACATAACTTTACAAAATTAGTAGTTGGTTTTAGGATACGCTACAGGGTATCTCAGAGTATAACAAGCTGCAAACAAGTCAAAGGCAATTACCTGAACAGAGTTAACATTCGATTAATTTATGGGGCGCACGAAAACAATCGAGAGACTCGAGAATTGTGACTATTATGACGCTCCGGCGCCGAATTCGATCAAAGAAAGCATAAATAATGCTCGGCAATGGGAGTGGGAGTGGAAGGTGGAGATTGGAATTGGAACTGCGACTGGGACTGGGACTGGAGCGACTGGTTGAAGCTGAGGCTGGCAGGACCAGTCGCAATGCCTGGCCGAGACAAAATGTATGCAAACGGGTTAATTAACTACGAAATTTCGAGCGCTAGCTACGTGATGCTATTAAAAGACAGCGAAAACACAGCCGGGTGGTCGATACCCAGCACGCCTGCTCTTTCCTCTCTATGCCTCTCTTTTTTTTTTATGTGGGTCAACGGTGGGCGGCTAACGAAACATTAACAACAGCAACAACAACAAAAACAAAATCGAATGCTGTTAACGCATTACGCCTGCAGTTACTAGCGGCAATTGTGGCTGCCGTTGCCGTTGGCCAACTTGCATTTTGACATTTCAAATGTCAACTTACACATAAATCTTGTCAAGGCAGAGCTGCTCACTCACTCAGTTAGCCAGCCAGTCAGTCAGTCAGTCTGTCAATCATTCAGTCATTCACTCAGTAAGTCACTCAATCGGCGGTCAGCGCGTTGCCACAAGATTGTTATCGCTCTTGCCTACAGAGGCTTAATTGCCGTTTGATATCTGCAACTAATATGTAGTAAATGCCCTTACTCAAATGGGGTACTACTCATATATTATTGTAAATGCTCTTTCCGGACTTTAAATTTATTTTATTTTATCATTGCGTACTATTTTCATAATAATGTGTTTTATTCAGAAGTATTCTTTCAGACGTTGCCTCACTTATTCAAATGTTGCCAGACTTAAAGCTCTAGATGTAGTCCAAGAATGTTTTTTGAATGTTTTTTGATGTGATAAAACGTTGCCAGGCTTGGACAAAGGTGTTTATTCGAGGTTAGAGGTTATTAACCTTGACTCTGAATAATTTGATTAGAATTTAACCAATTTCTATTGAATTCTCCTCTATTAATGACCAAAATTATAAAGTAATAATATTTTATTCAAAATTAAAAATAAATATTTTGCTTTCAAATATAAATTATTTCCAAAATTGTAAAAATTAGGAATTCTGAAAAACTTCTATTTATCATAGAAACTTCTTTGAGTCAAACATTTATTTTCTTTTCAAAAACATTTCTAGAAAATGTTTTTAAATATTCTATGTTCTATATTCACATTTAAAAACAACTTGCCTACATTCTTATAGAGTATTTACACTTCGTCATAATATAATGTAAACATCTTTTTCGGCTTTTTTTTTTTTTTGGTATCTGAACAATTTTTTTTGTTGCTGATTGGAGATTTATGATAATTGATTGACCGCGTTGGCGCGAGTTTCTTTGGCAATCCGCACATTGCGCATACGCAACGTTGTCTGGCAGCAACTGGTCGCAGAATAAATCATTTAATCAATATTTTGTCATGTCCAGAGTGAAAAACTGCATGGCAGCCAAACACGTGCTCCACATTTTATCCACAATTCTGCAAATTATTTATATACACATGGACACACAGTCATATCTAATTTTTTCATTGCGAATTGTTGAATGCAATTATACTGTCAATTCTTCGTCATGTTCATTTATGGACTTTTGCTGAATTATTATTGTTTAATTGTTAATTTATTGCATGCTTTTGTGATTTGTGACTGTGGCGAAAAAAAAAAACTTTGCAGATTTAAGAATTTTTTGATTGTGTTAAGAGTTTTTTAGATAGGCGTAAGGCCAATATCACGGTGTGTAGCAAGTGTTTTGACATAATTGAAATAAAATGAAGAATTTAGAAAATAAATATAATTTGATTAGGAGTAGCACGCTTCAGTTCCAGGTAATACTCATTCTTAATTTGATGCAGAAAATAATTAAATTAATATTTTCTTGAAGAAAGCAAGTTTGATTTATTTTTAAAAGTAAATACAGAAAAAACATATTAAAGTTTTAGGTGTTTTTTAGAATTTTGTATTTGCAAAAAAGTTCTTAATTTAGAGATATACATATTTTTTCCCATATAGAAAATAATTTTTTTTCCATTATCTGATTTGATTTCTAAGAAACCATTTGGGGGGTTATTCTAAAAATAATACTAAAAATTTGCGGCTTATTCTATTTTTCGATGACAATTTTGAACCAACCAAAGTTTTAAGTAGACTTTTATCACAACCCACACTTTTTCACTGAGAAAAAAACGAACAATTCAAGCAACTAAAATAAATGCCACTTGATCAGGTCGGCCTCTTCCCTAAAAACCAACTCTAAATGCAGTTTAAGTCTAGCAATCCATCAAGATCTGTGCACACACAAACACATATGCAGAGTAAAACCCCCATTTTATTTCACGCAC